GTGGTTGTGGTTGTGGTTGTGGTTGTGGTTGTGGTTGTGGTTGTGGTTGTGGTTGTGGTGTGGTTGTGGTTGTGGTTGTGGTTGTGGTTGTGGTTGTGGTTGTGGTTGTGGTTGTGGTTGTGGTTGTGGTTGTGGTTGTTTGTTGTTGTTGTTGTTGTTGTTGTTGTTGTTGTTGTTGTTGTTGTTGTTGTTGTTGTTGTTGTTGTTGTTGTTGTGGTTGTGGTTGTGGTTGTTGTTGTTGTTGTTGTTGTTGTTGTTGTTGTTGTTGTTGTTGTTGTTGGTTGTGGTTGTGGTTGTGGTTGTGGTTGTGGTTGTGGTTGTGGTTGTGGTTGTGTTGTGGTTGTGGTTGTGGTTGTGGTTGTGGTTGTGGTTGTGGTTGTGGTTGTGGTTGTGGTTGTGGTTGTGGTTGTGGTTGTGGTTGTGGTTGTGGTTGTGGTTGTGGTTGTGGTTGTGGTTGTGGTTGTGGTTGTTGTTGTTGTTGTTGTTGTTGTTGTTGTTGTTGTTGTTGTTGTTGTTGTTGTTGTTGTTGTTGTTGTTGTGTTGTTTGTTGTTGTTGTTGTTGTTGTTTGTTGTTGTTGTTGTTGTTGTTGTTGTTGTTGTTGTTGTTGTTGTTGTTGTTGTTGTTGTTGTTGTTGTTGTTGTTGTTGTTGTTGTTGTTGTTGTTGTTGTTGTTGTTGTTGTTGTTGTTGTTGTTGTTGTTGTTGTTGTTGTTGTTGTTGTTGTTGTTGTTGTTGTTGTTGTTGTTGTTGTTGTTGTTGTTGTTGTTGTTGTTGTTGTTGTTGTTGTTGTTGTTGTTGTTGTTGTTGTTGTTGTTGTTGTTGTTGTTGTTGTTGTTGTTGTTGTTGTTGTTGGTGCTGCTGCTGCTGCTGCTGCTGCTGCTGCTGCTGCTGCTGCTGCTGCTGGTGGTGGTGCTATTGGTGGTGGTGCTGGTGGTGGTGCTATTGGTGCTATTGGTGTTATTGGTGTTGTGGTTGCTGCTGTTGTTAATGGTTGTGGTGGTGTTGGTGTTGTTGTTGCTGTTGTTGGTGGTGGAGGCGGTGGGGTGTCGTTGGTGTTGTTGCTGCTTGATGGCCCGACTGGATGGTTTGAATTTGAGGTGGCGGAGGGTTGGGATATGACATCTGAATGATTGTGTGATGGTGTCGTCAGGAAAGCAACAGGTGGTTTCCAGCCTTGCTCAAAGCCTGGCACCAAGCAGCTCTTGATCTGGCGACCGTTCAGAACGTGCCTTGCAAGCTTGCCAGGGTCTGCTGGTCCATGATGGATTTTCCTCGTTCTGTCGTAGCACCACTCACTGCTCTTCAGCCAGATATGCAAATACTCTGCTCTCACTATTTGCATATTTTTCCTGGGCATACTCTCACTTATATAGGCATTGTAGTCTTTCACTTCAGCTTGCCGAGGTGCTGCAGCATGTTCTGCCAAACTGCCTCGCGCCCGCTCTGAGACAGCGCCTCGTACTGGAGCGCCACAGTGATTCGCGAGCGCACCTCTCCACACACAACTCATGTCATGTCACACTTTGACCATCGAAACGCCCCCGCTGCCAAGCACCAACTCGCAGCCATTGAATCTCATTCAACTTTCAACTGTGTCATTGCATCGGCAATCCATGTGTTTTCAAGCAAGTTGCCGCTGGATCGATGTTGCTGGCGCGGTTGGTTGTCAGGAAAAGAATGCCTGCCGGGGGGATGTCCATATTGCTCGTCCGGCATTTCGAGTGATTCAATGCGACTCCCCCCCAGGACTTCCGAGAAACCATGGCAGCACCTACGTGGATCCTGGGATGCTGCACAAGCCTGTGGCCTTTCCTCCGATGTGCCTTGATGGTATTCCAAGAGCCGAAGCATCACGCACACCAAGGCATTCCGCTGCAACTCCGAAGAACTCCTGGCTTCCAGGAAGATGTCCTGAGCCAACAAGGGTAATGCCGATTTCAACGCACATCGAAAGAAACTCGGTGTGATCGGAGGAACCTGACGACCTTCCCAAGGATCTCTCTTCCAAGAGTAGTGGCCGCCAAGAGACGGCCTCATCAATGAGGGTCAGGGCATTCCACTCGCTGCATAAGTGAAGCACCTGTCTTGCTGAAGGCCCCTGAGCATCACGTGGCCCTTTCAAGGATGGGAGTTTTCAGCGCCTTGCTGCAAAGCCACCTTGTTGCAGTGGTGACTATGGCTACTTCCTACGATTGTTGGACAAGGGGCAGTTGCCAAATCCAAGGCTGCACATCGTGAGCATTCTGGGCTCAACGAAGAGGGCCAAATCAGCAAGCTGCCGGTAGTATGCACCATGCCATGCACTCGTCAGCACCAAATGAACATATGTGCATATTATAGGTGAATTGCTGTCCCTCCGTTTGAGGGCACGCTTCCCTCGGCATCTGCAAATCTCGAGTGTCCCTTCTCAACTCCGAAACCCTTGACTTGGCCTGTGAGAGGTTTTGCTCCACCTCCTGCGCACTGATGCCCAAGTCCCCCGCAGTGACCACCTGAGACGCGCTGCGCTTGATGCATGCGCCTAGATCGCATCATGTAGCAAACCTGACACCTCATCTAATCAGCACGTAGGGTATTCCAAACGCAGCAACAAGTAAGCCTTTTCTACATGCAAGGAAGAACAAGCTTATACGTCATGCCAGTGTACACCAAGTCTCTGCACGGAAGTGGACTTAATTATGTAGGGCCGATACCTCTGTTTCAGTGTTTAGCTAACGAAGCAACCGAATGACAAGCACAACTCTATGATCGGAATGAGCTCTCTCTGTCTCTCTCTCGTCCCTGTCTAGCTGCGTGGACGTGATCAACCCAGCCGAGGTGCGTAGAGAGGCATGTGGAGCATTTCAGCTATAGCTTCAGCAGTCAACGTTTTTCCGCACCCAGGCGGGCCGTAGAGGAGGAAAATGGTGTTGTCACCCTGCACGTTGCCAAGCTGTCTGACCACTCAGGACCATTGCAGGGGGAACTTCAAAGAACTGAGCGCCGCTGCCTTGTTTGATCAATTTCCCGACAGCGAACTCCTTCATTGGCTAATTCATCGCTTTTTGGCGCAACCATTTTCTTGACTGGCGAACCACCTGATGGCTTGGATCTCGGCCAAAGCTGCTACTGTCAAGGCACCTTGCCCTCAATAAAGTCCAGCCCGCTTGATGCCGCATGGCGGACAGCTGACCTGGGCTTTTGTGACGGCCAAGAGTGATGCCTTGATGCCCGGAAAGCATTGTGCCCTGAGCAAGACCTAGCCATTGGAAGTGGATGATTCTAAACATGGGAGGGGGAGGGGCTCAAACAAATGTGTGGGTCTCCGCTTGGCTTCCCCGTAGAACCAAGCAAAGTTCGGCATACCGGCAAAAAGGCCCCATCCAAATGATGGGAACCGCAGCGAGACAGCTGAGAACGTGGCCGGATGATCTCCTTCATCTCCGCAGGCAAGACCAGTTGTTCAAAAGCATTCGACCGGAACTTGATCGGAGTGGTGTCTGCCACCAATACCTCAAGGTCTGGCCAACCTCCTACGCCTGTTTCAGCATTGAAGTGTAACACATGTAGCTTTCCTTCAACAGGGGGGCTGGCCAAAGCCTGCGTGTCCATGTTTGCCCCTTCCAGCCTGGCCCCAGCACTTGGCGGTGAAGCTGAACCCCACCAGGGCTGGCCAGGCCATCCATACCTCCTTGCGGGTTGGAACTCCATCCATACCTCCTTGATGTCAAAACACATTGCAAAGTTGGGGGACCGTCCTCCTCCGACGGTTCGGGTACCAAACGCAGCGCCTCCGTCCCGTGCTTCATCTGCTGCTTCAACGCCTTCACTGCTTGCTGCAGGGCAAGGGAGCCTCGGCTGCCAGGATTTGAAGGAAACATGGAACACATCACAAGACGACAAGAAGGCGAACATGAAAACAACAAAAGCTCTTCCGTCTTCCTTCCGGAGTGGGGGGCTTCTCCCCTATTCGGTCAGGCTTGGCTGGGGAAATCTGTTAGCCTTTATGACAGCCGCTTTATTCGTCCTGCAAGCAAGATCTGAACAAGATCCTTGGTTGAGGGGCAGTTGTCACCCCCTCGGGCAGCATAGCTTCCGTATTCCTGGCCCCGCTGTGTGTCCAGCATCACGCGGCCCCCAGAGAGCGAGGCATGCTTCGAGCGCCCGTGCGCAAAGAAGGACCCCCGGGCGTACTGCACATAAGGCGTGGCGGCGGCTGCGACATACTTCCGACCCCTCTGGTGCAGCTTTTGCATCAAGTCTGGCTTCATGACCTGAGTCAGGACAGCATGTTACTATTTGGAGCTTCTACAGTTGGTTGCAAGCACAGTTGGGAGCTGACAGTGGTCAACCTTCAAGGACCGCGTTGAATTCCATCCAACAAAGCAAGGGCAAGTCCCGATGCAAGGAACAAGCTGTGATGATTGGGCAGGAAAACAGGCAGGCAGGAAAGCAAAGTGACACAAGCAAAAACCTAAATGGAACAATGAAAAGCCGTTGGTTGCTCAGCACCTGGCCTGGTAGAGAAGGGTGTCCAGCTTTCTGACCCCCTGAAAGGTGGACATAACATCCTGAAAGTTGATCCTTGCAAAGGTGCTGCCCACAGCCCCCAGGAACTCCAACTCTACCTGATCCAGCGACTCAAGGTGCAGTACTTAGCTGTGACCCGTTGGTGCCCTGGTGGTATTTTGCGCCGCCCGCAACGGAGTGTCCCAAACATGTTGTCAAAATTCTGCACCGATGTCTTTGCTTGGCGGCCACTGAAACATGCATTGGGAGAGACTTGCCTTGTGAATGAATAGCGCTGACAAACGGGCAAAGGCCAACCAGCATTGCAACCCAAACTTTGTTGTCGCATGAACACTAACTCACTGACCGCAAAACCTTTGCATGTGCCCGCAGCTGTCATTCTGTCTTACAACATGTTTCGCATTGAAACAACATTTACAAAGCAACTCTCGACCGCGAACATGTCATGCTCTGTTACTGATTCATGCCACGCGCCAACATGCAAACATCTTGTGAATCTCGTGAGTGAACTTGTCCTTGCATAACCCAACACGAGCTGCGTCGAAGGACTATGCAACAAAGCTTCTCCGGATCAGACAACTAGTGGATTAACCCCGCTACTTGCGACATGCAGGGCATGGGCTCTGGCTTCGCGATCCTGTTCTCACTTTCTGCTCATAACAAAAGGCTGGATCCGAGCTTCCTCAAATGCGAGTCCTGTACTATTGCAAGTACGGCCTGTTGCAGTTGCGGCTCTGTGAATCTCAATTCTTGTGCCACACGCGCTGGTCTTGAAAGATTCGTGGCTCCAGGAGAAGCACAAATAGGAAAGACAACCTGCAGCTGTAAGGAAAGCACAGCGACAACGCAGGCATGGCATTTTTCAGGTCTGGCACGATGGTATGACGATTCAACTGGGGCCCTCCTTCCAAACACATTTGCAGGAACGGTCCCAGTAAAGGCCCCAATATCAGAAAGAAATCCCAAGGTCATCTTCCCCTTTACCTCGTTCTCCCCTCCCCCCCCGGCATGGAAGGACTTCTCTGGGCCGAAGAGAGAGTGGCGGAGCTGATACCAACTCTGCAGCACCGTGAGGCCCAGCATCTCCCCTATCCCGTCCACCGTGGTAAAAACCTGGCAAGAGAGAGAGCGGCCCAACTCGAACCACTCAAAGCTACTCGTTCGGCCGGGCACCCCGAGAACAAGAATAGCAAGCCATCAAGCCAAAAGCTGCAGCCCATTTCCAAATTGAAGAAGGGGCCTGCCTTGCGAGAGCGGGATGAAACCCTCAGCACTGAAACACGCCCAAGAGATTGATTGAGCGATCCCTACCGTGTCCAAAACACACAAAAATGCCACAAAACACGGTCCCATCGATCCCTTCGCGCCAAACAAAAGCACTCCTGATTCGCGTGGAATTGCTTGGCCCAAGCCCACACAAGCTCGGCTGTGAGAGCATGCTATCCGTGCCATCCGTAATCATCCGTACTAGTTCACCGGGTGGAAGGTGATTCGATCAATGGAACTCGCACACCTAATACAATGTCTTTTGTCACCAAGAGCAGTGCTGTCTTTGCAGGGCTGATCTATCGTTAGCCGCAGCTATGGGTCTTTTTCAGGGTCGCACGTCTTTTCAATCAATGTCCTTTCAATCAACACGTGCGCACTTGCCAACTCAAGTCGAATGCCATTTGCTCAGCCCAAATCTCTGGCCTTCTCGCCTGGGCAAAAGACCTCGCCGAGGCCGTGGAACTGCACCTGGCCTCGCATGGGCGAGAAATTGGAGGCAAGCCCTGGCAAGCTTTGAATATTGAATATCTTTGATTTGAATTCAAGCCTTGCTCCCTTGGCCATTGCCATGGAATTCCCAGCTCCCAAAATGGGCGCCAGGATGTGCCAGGCTTGGCGGAGAGGCAGCAAAATCACGAGTGCCGAAATGGCCCCGCGGATTTTTCACGTTCGTAGGATCGTTTGGCAAACAAACACCCCAGCGATTTGTGAACATGACCAGAAGTCGAAGTTGAAACCACTCTGGCAATTCATAGTCTTGCGTGCAAGTAGCATGACATCCCAGTGGGCTTCAAAGGTTTGCGGCATGGCGCTGCAGCAGCCTCGTTTTACTAGGGTTTGTTTCTTCGTCACTTGCTGCCGTGGTTTACAACTTTCTTTGCTGTAGTCCAACTGCTGATGATTATCGCGGAAAGCAAAAGCAAGAAACAAACTTCTCCACTCCAACGTGCTCCTCATTCCACTGACAGGAATTCGTGGTGTGTTCACTTTGACCGAATGGTTTTCATTCCCCTGAGGTGGCTGGCGGCGCTTAACTCTGACCAGGTGCCTCCCATTCCAGTATCATTCCACACCCTCCCCCCAATCCCTTTCCTTGGAAGGCATTACCCACCCCGCAAACCTCTCCGGCACCCCAACCAAAGGCGATCACGACGAGCGCTCGATGTTCAAGATGCACTCGCAGTTCAAAAGGTTACACAATTGCGGGGTTTTGGCTTCCGTCAGCAAGACTTGAGAACAACAAGAAACACAAGGAATCCCCAGCAGCCTCTAGGGGGTCCTTGACAGCCATAGAATTTGAGAAAACAACGTGAATGAAAACACCTGCTGCCGGGGTAACACTTTTGACGAATACAGGGGAAGTGTGAGGTGGAGCCCATGGGACCAAATCTCCGAAACAAACCGACATGAAGTAACAAAAAGAGACAAGTGGTGGAGTCCCAAGTGATGTGCGGCCATAGTCGAACTTTTGCATTCGCCTTGGTCATTGCGTGCAAAACGGCAGCCTGATCTGTAACTTACAAGTGCTTGACAAAAACACCTTCTCCATGAGGACAAGCGTGCCAGCCACACTTGTCTGCCCAGTGACACACACACACACAGGAAGGCTGTTGCAAAGGAAAACATGATTTCCTTTTTCTTCTGTCAAGGCCATCAAACAGATTATTCCTTCCCCCGTTCAAGGCGTTCAAGGCATTCCACAACTCTATGCCTAAGTCCGACTCCAAGGCGCCGCAGTCGATGTCACGCCTCAGCTCCTCCAAGTCTTGGATCTCCCCTTCCAGCGCTGTGATGAGGTCATCCAGGCCCTCCAAGAGGACAGGCCGCTCCCCAGGTTGCACACCTTCGGCCGTCCCAATGCCGCACGGGAAACGGCTGTTGTCTGACATTGGGTTGCCAAGGACACTATATAAGGTCGTGTTTGGAACGCCTTGACACGCCGTGCGGCAAGCAATGAGCGAATCCACTGCTCACAGTGCTTGGGGACTGTGACAAATCCAAAAGCATGGCACGCTGAAGGGCAATCACAGTACCTCAAAAATTGAACATGGATTGCTCCTCCCACCTATTCACCTCACCGGTGGTCAAGCCTCCAGGCATTGCAAGCGCACCACGAATCGTGATCGGTTTACTTGAAACGCAGCGAAACGTATGGGTCAATGCAGCAGCGACCGCCCCATAAAGCTGCCGAGCAACCGCAGGATGAGCACATCTCCAGGAAACGCCTTGGGGGATCTTGGGGGCAGAAGTGATCCCGACTGATTGCTGGACAAGCGACTGGCACCGAATGGTGGCCCCAATTGTCACACATTCTCACCTGGATTCTTGTGGCAATCCTTGCGGACCTTCTGCCAAGGTAGCGCGGCTTTCCCAACTTGCTGCAAGTGCAATCTTGAGTTTACGCTCGGGCACTGTCCGTCCACCGGCCGCTGGGCCGAGTTGAACTGGTTGCGTTCGTAGCGCAAAGCTCGCAGTCGGCCAAGGTTCAGGAGGGCATGGTCTATGCGAAGCTCCTAGCTACGTGAGGTGCTCATGCGATCTACAGAAGGGCGGCCCAAGTCACATGTTGCCGTTTAGTTGAATCCCATGGTTCTTGATCCGTGTCAATCAAAAGGTATAACATCCAAACCAGCTGGCAAGCTGCAAGCTCTGAGCACAAGCAAAAGTAAGGCCAAAACATTTTGGGTATGCTTCAAACCCTCGGCAATGTTCCATCAACTAGTGACGGTGCTACCTTTGAGGTTATGAACGCCTGGAACACCTCCATGGCGGGGACCATAGACAACTTGGTAACAAAGGTATATGCATGCGGGCCTGCAACTCATTCGCCTAGGAGAACCATCCACTACGGCCAACTGAGGCTTTGGGTGATGCTCGCTCAATTGCTTGGGGCATCCTGCTGGTGCCGGCCCGAGTCGGTGAGGTGCCGCACCAAGATTGCCAGATCTTTGTGGACCGCCTCCCCCGACAAGCTGATCACCTGAGGGCATAGCCCCAAACTGGCCGTGCCCACATTGAACCCATCCACTCCAAAGAGGGCAGGAATTACACATGTGGTAGTCATTGGGAATCCAGAGGTGCGTTGCCAACCTGCGTCAATTGTTCTCTGTAATTAGACAACTTTTCTCTCCGTCATACATCGTGCGAGTGGCAGCATAGTGATATCCCTCCAAGTGCGACAAGGAACTTCTAAGACCACTTTGCCAAGCTTTACACGTGCTGGAGTGGGAAAGTCGCTGTTACTTCAAGAACCACCCGTTGTACTGTAAATGGGGTGGGAGGCAGTGGCTGAGGCAATTGGGTGACCCCATACCCTTGCGTTTCGATGAGAGAAAGCTTGATGTCAACGCCGGCGTTGCTTTGAAGTGGCAGACCGATAGAAACGACTCGCACGTGGCACTTCGTCATTCGCACAGCCGTAGCATCCAAAAATGCAAATATCCTTGACCTAAGGTGCAAACAAAGACCCGCCGAGCCGCCCCTGCCGAGGACACTTGCTGCGGTCGCTTGAAGGTGAAGAATGCCGAGGAACTGGATGCGGGCTGCGGCTGCGGGGCCTGGGATGGAGAGACATCAGACTGTGCGAAACACGAGCACCAAGTGGGGCACAAACTAACAAGCAAAAAAACGTAAGACACACTCACACAGACACACACCACACACATATCCCTGATTGGAGCTACTTGATGCTTTGATTTGGTCTGGTTTTTAGGGGGTACAACCGCTGCCCACACACACAGGCACACAGTTAATACACATGCAAACGCATAGCACCGAGTCCGAGTGTCGCCTGCCTGGGCACCGCTGCCGCTGGGCCGTGTTTGCGGCTTGGGCAAGGGCGGCCCCTTGGGCAAGGGCGGCCCCTTGCCCGGGCCCTTTCCTGTGCGTAATGCGTGCGCATGTCCTCGCTTACGCGTCCGTGTACGCGTGCGCATGGCGATGTACGGGCGGGTTGGTTATCTTTAGCATGTAGACCACACATGTAAACAAGACAAGTAAATGTACACACACACACATATATATATATATACAAATACATGTACAAGTACATATGTATATCAACATATGGTCAGCCCCCGATGATCTACAGTTTGCATTTTGAACTCCTTTCAACCTTTCTGCTTTCTGCAAACAGTTGTGTATGAATTCAAAAAGTGTATATGTGTATATATATATATGTGTGTGTGGCGTGTATTGCGTGGTTTAGGTGGCCTTTAACTAGGTATTCATGGCAAAGGGTGGATGGGGGTTGGTGATCGCGTTGATGCACTTGGAATTATATAGCACCTCACTTACAACACCTCACCTAGAACTCTTAAATTTAGCAGAGCCTACTTTTGGTAAACTTGATTTTGAGTTGGCGTGGAGCCTGGCCGAGTCCACCTCCCCAGTCCATCAACCCCCTTCGCAGCGATCCCAGCCTCTTCTCTCCGGCGAAGGGGTACCGCCGTCAACCTCGCACGCCGCGGCCAAGGCAATCTTTGAAGCGTACAAACTTCTCCAAACGATTAATCTGGGTGACCAAAACTAACTCACGAGAAAGGAACCTTCATCATAGGTGAGGTTGCAAGCGCCGTTTCAACCTTTATGATGTTGGCCGCTCTTCCACACTCACATTAGTTCGCCAAAAGAGCCCGACCCTTTGTCAGTCATAATCAAGCCGCGAGCCAATTCTCTCCAGCCTGCTCCCCTGTTCCATTTCCCTCCCCGTCTCCCTCCCCCCGTCCCTTCCATCTCCCTTCCGTCTTGGTGCACTCTCCTGAGGCAAGGTACGGATTGCATGTCGAATCGGCGCCTTATGATTCCTACTGCCGCAGACTGAGAGAAGACATATATGATTCAAGTCGTGCCTGTTTGCAACCAGCGGCCAAAAGTAAACGAGTGGAGCATGTCCGCTGCGCCTCAGCCGGCTCGCCGTTGTCGCCCTTTTCGGCTTCGGCCATGGCTGAGGGCAGCGGCCTTTGACTGGTTCTCACAACAAAGGTCCTGGAGTGGAGGATTCTGGCAGGGCGTGTTCAGGTTGTTTGTCGGGCGGCTGAAAGTTGCTGAAAGCTCTCTAGGGTGCACTATGGCAAGTGCCATGGTAGGAAGGAAGCCTCCAAATGGTCCAGGTTCTCAGGCGCACATCCACGCTCGGGAAGCACAATAGCAAGAGCAAAAGAGAACAACTCCGGTGAATGGCAATGATCACCGCTCACTTTTGTGCTTTTGCAAAGCTTGTAGTTGGGATGCGCCAGCAGCGTTGCTGCCCTGAAGTTCCGTTTGTTTGCTAGCTTCGTGTGTCTGCTGCAGCTGTCTTCGATCCATCACATGTAGGTTGTGCAAGCCCCATGCTCCTTTAAATGATTGAACTTGTCCTTGTGGGGATGGCTGTGAAACGATCGCACTGAATGTAGTGGAATTCGACAATGGCTTTGAGATGGACTGTTGCGTAATCAACCCTCAGTGAAGTGTCACCCGGAAGCGAACCATGTTCGACCCCCCCGCACCAATTGTCACCTCAATCACTCTTTGCCGAAGCGAGACTGCATCAACTTCCTTTGAGGCTGCAGCATCTCACCCTTGTCTGCCACCATCGGCCTGCGATGTGAGTGTTGTTGAGTTGTTGAGGGTTCAAGTTTGCTGCGCATACGCTGCCTTCTGCGTTTTCAAAACCCCAACCCAGAAGGTGAGAAGCAAGCAAATCAGGTTCCACCTGCAGGATGATGCTTGCCGCCCAAAAAACAGGGCCCCCGGCAGCACGCAGGCTCGGTCGCGGCCATGGTAGGGGTCAAACTGCAATGCGGATTTCTCCAAGCCTCACTGCAAAAGGCTTTGGCAAAACCAACGCTTGCCAAGTGAATGCCGCGCTGAAAAACCACAACACTGACACCATTTCGTTGGCCCGCTTGCCAGGCAACGAGCTTTCCATTTGGGTGTTTTCCCTTCGCTGGTGCAGCCATTTTCGGCCTTGTGCGCATGCACACAATTGACTGAGCTCGCATCGCAACGCGTGCTTCTTGAACTGCAAGTCCTCCACCATCTCAATTTTGGCGGCCTGACAGAAAATGGTGCTGGCTTGACCCTTGGCTGGACACTTGGTGCCGCCTCCCATCTGAACCGAGCCCTGCGACATTACATAGCCATCTTTGGGATCATTGGGTTATTTCACTCTGGAACCGTGGAATCGATAGGACCTCCAACACTGCCAGCTACACTCTCCAGTACTTTAAGTGACAAAGCGTGCCTGCTGAGTACTAGGTTACTCGGTCAGCTGTGAGCAAGCAGTCCGGACCAACGGCAGGAATTGAAGGGGACACAAGAGACTCCCACTCCTGCATGGTGCGCCTGCAACGCCTCATGCAGCTGGTTGCCGGCTTCAATGTATGCATCTGGCAGCCGAGAATCCAGCAATCCCCATCCCCAGTCCCCACGCGATGCAAATCGCTCAAACCAAACAATTCTCGAACATTTCCTGATTTGCCTGCCAAGGTGCTAAGGTGCTTGTTGCCAGAGGCCAAGACCTGCCTTGGATGCCAGGCAAAGCACAACCCTCTGCTCAGGTCACCACCCGAGCGAAGCAGTTCGGGTGAGGTGAGAAATCCTTTCCTCTGAGCTCGGCACTCCTCATGCTCCAAGGCCTGCTGGAAATCATCCTACAGCGAAACGAGGAATCGCAAGGAACCTGCCACCAATGCAAGGACTACCCGGACTACCCCCAACAAAAACTTCAGGGAAGGCTCAGTTTCAGGGAGTGCTTGACAAATCTCTCAATCTCACATCCCTCTGGCACTCCCATGCAAGGCAGGCCAGCGCCCAATCAAATTCAAGGTGTCGATAGATGACGCGCACGCCGAATCCTGCCTGCACACTTTCCTCTTCCGGCCGCTGAGTTCGGATCAAAAGCCTTGGCAGCCGGGCCGCTGGTCGCTTCTGAGGTGCTTGAGGTGCCCTGCCTCCTTTCACAGATTTCGATGGGGCCGTCCAGCCTGAGTCGGAAGTGGGGGACGGGGATTTTGGCCAAAGCTACCAAGGCTGTCACGACTGCCGGTTTTGGGAGAGCAGGTACAGAGATTGATCCACCTCAGGACTCTGAGCGAAGGTGACATCCATGGGAACATACAGGTGAAGTGTAACCTTGAAACCCTCGAGTATGTCAAGTTCAACCACGCACGTGTAGAAATGAAGCCATCCCGTGCCTCCAAGTATGGAGCAAAATGTTGGGCTCACATGGTCCTATTTAATCCGCCGACGCCAGTCGAGCGTGTAGATGGCAGTCCGCAACTTGGTCTTCCTTCGGATCTCTTATCAAAGCCGAAGGCTTTTGGGGCTGCCATTTTTTGGGCATGGTGTGCTGGGTGTCCAAAACCCTGTAATTGTCCAGTGTTTTTGTCGCTTGCGTGCTAAAAATCTGCGTTTCGCCTAGGTCTCTAGGGGGGGGGGGGGGTTCCCCCCGGACGCGCAGGATCTGCATCCGCAGCATCATGAGGATTTGTCTCTTCTTTTTGCAGATACTATTGGCGTTTTGCTGTTTCAAGCGATGTTGGAATCGGCCTGCTAGGGGTCTGGGTGGGGCCAAGTGCAGTGATACGTTGAGGCAAAAATGAGTGTTTTTTGCAATTCCCCACCTGTACGGAGCAGTTACTGCGAAACATCCCCTGCATTATCGTGCTTTTGGAAGTCTATTTCTAGGGTATTTGAGCGGGGTTGCTAGTACCGGCTTTTGATTGTTGATTTTGGGAAATATAACAAAAAATCATGGTTTTTTGGACTTTTTTGTGGCCAGCCGGCTGCATTCCCAGCATTCCCGGCATCTCTGGTATTTTCTGTGTTTGGTCAATTTTGTGCCCTTGCATTTCCAGCATTTTTTAAAGAGAAAGGTCTGTAAACTGGCAAATTCAGACCTTCTATCATCTCGTGCCAACAAGCAAGACTTCCCTGAAAAAAGAAAAAAGGGCTTAAAATCCCTTGCACCCCACTGGCGTCGGCGGATCGCGTAGCGATTTCAATATGAGGCCATGTGGGTCGGATTCAAGTGAATGTCTTCCTGGATGCCTGATTTCATTTTGTGACAGGACAGCACTCCTCGAACACAAGTCGTGCAACCAGGATAGTGGATCCTGTGGCAAGCCAAGACACTATTGTTTCAAGCATCAGAAGATGCAGGGATTCCGCAAGCCGTGTTATCTGCGCCATGAAATCCCAATGTGAACTCTGCAAGCTGAGACTGAAAGTAAGGAACTGGCTCGGCGAATCAATGCCCCGGTGCCTCCGGCAACACAAGCAAACTTCAGTGTCACATGATCTCAATGCACCTTGTGTGTGAGAGCAATGCAAACCACCGTTGGCCTTCTATTCTCCGCAGCAGGTTCTGGATGAGACCCTCCGTCATCGCAACCTGACTGCTTTGCAGCATCCCCTTTGGCCCCAACAACGGGCACCGGGTACACCGGGCATGTTGGGCAGGCTGGGCACGCTGCTCTCTTCCGGAGCTTCTGGAGGATTCCGCCTCAGCACATCAATGGCAAAGCTTCGGACGGGCAGCCATCCCGAGGCGCCAGCCAGACCACTCCTTGCAGGGTGGCGACCTCGCCTGGAGTAACCATCCGGCTTGCGCTTTTTTCATGTTCTTGCAGTGTATCCCTCTCTCTCTTTCTGTTTCTCAGTCTCTCTGTCGTCTTTGTCCTTCTTTCTCTTTACTGGAGAAGAATGGACACGCGAGACGCACCGTCCATTGAAATGCGGCCAATGCTGCACCGAACGGCTTCTAAACCTCCGGACAATGTCCCACCAACCATGTGCTACAAAGGTCCAGAAAAATCACTATTGATTGGAGGGAATTGGGATAAGCACATCCCCGCAAACCAGCAACTCATTTGGCCCCCGGATGAATCAACCTGGCAAATGCAGGGGGTGTTCCCCCAAAGTGAACGATCCCCCATATCAGGGTATTATTGATCCTGGGTTTCCATCACTTGAAGCCTGAACGGTCAGAAAGGGAGCAAAGATCCCCTCCCTTTGAGGAGAAACGGGATGGTTGGGGCCGTAAGTGGCCTGGAACTGTTGCTCCACTGCCTTGCGCAGCAAGCGAGCCTGGCAAGGGCAAAGCGGTCCGGACAGCTCACGACTCCCGGCTTCCTCGGGGCATACCCTACGCCGCCCTACGCCTGCACGAAGGTGGCCCTTTGGAATCAAATGCTTGGCGTTTTGGGACCGAGAAAAACTCAAGCGCTTGCAAATGCTGACCTTTGTCACTGGGCACTTTGCCCAGGAACCTTTTCCGTATGATGATCTCAGTTTGGCGCCGTGTTGAGCCGCTCTCGCACTTGCGTGTCGCGCCACCTTGGAGTACGCAAGGGGTACCACTGGGACCATTGGTGAGAACTGGCGGGCTTTAGGATTGAACATTGCCAAGCCATCCAGGTTGTGATCCAAGGCTTGAAAAACCAGGAGGGCCACAGATTTGGGCAATGCTTCCCGGCAGAATCGAAAACCAAAGTAGAAAAGCCATGTCGCATTTTCTTAGCCAGGCACCTGGGATCTCTGGGTGTGCACCTGGGCCCATGGTGACTCAAGCCCTCATGGTCTGAGGCAGGCCTTGGCTCATCCCAACAGCAAAGACACCCAACAGCAAACACGTCACGTCGGAAAAGCGGAACACCCAGGCGCAGGAACCATGACTCGCAGCCAAAGCTGCTTGCTTGGCAACATACATCACAAAGCCAAGCATTAGCACGAGCAAGTAGACATCAGTGACCAAAATTAGCAGCAGGTTTGCTATTGTCATGAGAACAGTTAAGTTGACAATCAATAAACCTGCCTACAACCAATAGGTCAGCATAAAGTGACTGGTACTTTCGTACTTTCTCAGGTGCACGCCCTTGAGAAGAGCACAAGCTGAAGGCGGTGCTCCTGCTCATGGGAAGCTGGTGCAGGTGGGCCAGAAACCATCTGTCCAGTGCGACTTTCAACTGCTCCTTTTCCACCCAAAGGCATGGAGCCTGACAACTTGTTCTTGAAAAAGAGTGCCTTTGCAAGGCCTCCGTAGTTAGTGGGAGGGAGGGGAACAGAAACAAAGCGGAACCCCACGTGTGGACAACCGGAATGCAAGAACTGCCCATCTGGACAAACATAACATACCATCCTTATCCTCGCAACTCACCAGCCTATCGCTGTCACCCTCTTTTTAACAGGCGCTTGGAAAACGCCTCTTGGCTCGGTACCCATCCTCTCCGGCCGCGTTTGCGGCAGGGAAAACCCAAGGCCTGCCTGTCCTAACAGCGCGTTGGGACCAACAAGGCTGGTGCTCACGCTTTTCAATGTCTCAAAGGTTCTGACACCCAAAGGAAATATGAAGACCGTGCACCAACATGCCTGGACAACAAACCATTCACCACCTGAACGCTAGACGTGTCAGCTTTTTGGTGAGGGGGAGGTCGCTTGCTATTTGCCCTGGAACTCAGCGAGGCACTCTTCATGCACCTGTGCGCGCGGGAGCTGAGATGCGAATGCGGGCGAATGCGGGCGAACGCAGCTTCCGAGCCTGAGATCCCCCAATGCTTTGGCTTGAGCTTCCCGTTACTCGGGTCCCCTAATGAAAGAACACCCAAACTTGTCAGGCTGGCTCGCCCCGTCTCCATAGCAAGCAGAATGCTAGCAACGCCAACGCAAAAATAAGACATTTCTCAAGCCCAACGCATGCGGGTTCTCCACTATCTAGAGGTACCCGCTTGGTAGGAGCGGGTGAAACGCATTGGCGCAACTGGGCATCAATGTTTTTGAGGTGTGACAAGGACAATGGGCGTGACTCTTTTCTCCTGCGGCTGTGTGACACCTTGCTCGCTTGACGTGAAGGATTTCCCAACGAAGATTCCAAACTCACTGGCGCCTCCTGATTATGCTCGCCGAGTCCCTCTGCAGTCTGGATAGTTGGGGCAAGCCCAGAAGGGTGAACCTCGGTTGTACCCGGATTGATTTATTTTTTTGGCCATCGCAGTCCTGCATTTTGGGCAGCGTGGAACTTCGGCAAAGCAGGGCACCAAAGGGCGCTGGTGTGGCGTCATCTGATCTCGCGAACGGGAAAGTACCATACTGGCAGAAGACACCAAAGAGGGCTTCTGCTGATGGGGCATCAACATCGATTTGGCACGTGTAGAAGATTCGGATGCTGGCTGTTGAAGCATGTTGAAGCCAGGCACAGCGCAATAGCTTTGGTCACTTGAGCCTGCAGGAAGCTTCTGATTCTGGTCCATGTGATGACGTTGGCATTGGGAGCACAAAGGTCACGACGTTCTAAGATTAGCACCATGAGCTGCCTCTCACCACACAACTCCTTCAACTGCTTCCACAATTCTTCCATATTCCCCTCCAGGAAGTCTATCAGCACATGGCTGAGGCAAATCACAAAGGGCCCTGGGCTGGAGCCAGCCCTATCTTTGAAGGTCCTAAGCATCTCTTTCAAATTGGGACAGAACTCAAAGTCTGCTTCGATGCCCGTCGCTGGCTCCCACTCCCGCACCGGATCCAGAAGAGTCACATGGGGTTCCAGATTTTGCTGAAGCAAAAATCGGGAAACTCCTGCGGCTGCACATCCCGGTCCGGCCGCAAAGTCAAAGATCTGCGCCCTCTTCCAATCAAAGTCAAGCTGATCTGCCTTCACCACCTGCAGCAGCTCAAAGGTTGCCTGTGAACGAGAAACAAACTTCTTGGTGGTGTACTTGTGAGCAAAGCCTGGGAGAGCATAATCTTTTTCCTCCCAAGGCTTGTTTTTGTAGTTGCTGAACACCTCTGTGCCTTCGATGCCTATGGGGTAGCAATCCTCAATCTGCTCCGAGAGTCGCTGGAGAAACAAATCCGAATCCATCACTGGCCACTCCTACCTGTTCTGTAGGCTACTCAGCTGGACAGCCCTGAGCAGAACAGCTGCAGCAACCTCTAATCATCTCTAATCTTTTGACCCGCTCAGGCAGGACAACGCTTGCCAGTAATTGGTCCCTAACAAGTTGCCTCAAAACTTGGCTTGCGAAGCCTCCACCAAAGGACTCCTGAACTGATCCCCGCACCCAACTTTGAATGTCCCTCCCGCAGCCACCGCAAGCAGCGAATCAAGCCTTCTTGGCGGAAGGACCTGGCAAGCTCCGCAACTTTGCACCGTATGGTTTGTCAGGGATGGCCCGGATGGCCCGAAGCGTAGTTTGCGGCCCCTCAAATGCATCCAGGCCTATCTCAAAGATCTGCCCACTGAACCTGGAGATGTGAGCCATTCCAAGGGTCACACTCAGCCCTACGTTCACGCTCCAAGGGGCAAAGCACGGCTTTGCCATCCTTTGCCCTCTCTCAGGCTGTGGCCCGCCCATTTTGACCAGCGGCTCCTTGCAGTGGGCGCAGCTTGGGGCCCACTTCCGCAGGAAAGCACCATGGCACTCCTCGCGTTGCCGAGAAAGGGGAAAGGCTTCAAGTACGGTGACACTTGATGGCTTGGGTCGGCGATTTCAGGTGACTGGCAGCCAATTGGGTAAAGGGAGCTAACTCGAGGCTCAACCGCGCAAACCACCAATCCAGCTCACCAAACCGGGCATCTGTGTAGGGTGGAGTCATGGACATTGATCTTGTGGGAAGTCATTCCCTTGAATGGCAATCTTCGAGCTATTTGTGCACATGGCTGAGGTAGTGTGGAGCCATGAAGGGCACAGTCTGAGGGCTGCACGACCTCAATTTTGAAACAAAGCCACGTGACATTGCATGTTGAGGTGCCCAGATTGTCCAACAGAACTTGAAATTACAGTGGGAGGCCTAAAAGCGCCCAACAGTCAAGAATAATAGAATATCTGAAGAACCTGCCTTCCACCTGCTTGGAAACACGCGAGCCCAACCCGGCCTCATGAACCGGCCCTTCACCTTGGCTACAAAACATGGGCATGAACATCTGTGATGTGGGCTGCCAAAGGGTTGCGCCTGCACTTGTTGGGCACTGCACATGCTCCAAAGATGCTTTCAGCCCTAGCGGCATCAGTGTCTTATTGAACAGTTTCCCGCTGTCATGCTCAAACGCCGACATGGATCACAGTATCAAAATATTCAGGACCCCCCCTTCCCCCGCATTCACAATGAAGGTAGCAAGCGGCAGGCCAAGCTTGGCAGAGTGCCTGATGGTGAATGATTCGTTTGGACTTGAGGATAATGATTGCGAGATTCTTTTGCGTCATGCGTTGAGCCAAAACAGAATTACAGGCTCATTGCTCCGAGATCTGCCTACCTCAGTCAAGCCCTGACCACTCACTCCCTATAGCTCCACAAGTGAAATATCTCATTGACACAGTATTGGGCCACATAAGGCTAATGATTTGAGAGCGGGTTTGCCCTCACACGATTGCCCCGACGTTCCAACGACTCGGCTTTCGCACCGTGATTCTGCTCAGCCAGCTTACAACATCTTAGTTTTGTAAGGGCAGATTTCAACTGAACCAAGCACATATGCAGCGTGCCATGGAGTTTGGCAAACACCAGCAACATGCTCGCAGGTGCAATCTCGGTCCTGCCAGACGGATGGACTCCATGGAAACAACCCAGCGGTAGGCAACATCATGAGGATGACATGTGCCCACAGCATTGGCCTACTGAGCACACCGCCGTGTCGGCCGTAGTGCCCATCCTGCCAGACTTGCCCGCATAATGTTGACCCAGGATTAATAAACCCGTCCCATTATTAGGGGGGTGTTTCCCCCAAAAGTGATGAATCCCCACTAAAAGGGGACACCCCCTATTAATCAACCAGGGGTTTATTAATCCGGGGATAACATTAGCCATCCGGAACTGATCTCCGTGGGTGACGACCCACACATTACACAAGTTTGCCAACACGATTGCTCCAGCTCATCGCGCATGCGAGCGGGCACACACACACACACACGGTGGGTGCGGGGCCCTTTGCCATGGGCCAAAGGCTTACAGCGCGCCTTGTAATTGAAGTGCTGTCCGCTGTACTTGCCCTCAATCCGCATCACGTGCCTGGGTCACATCTCACAGCCACTGGCAAAATTCACACCTGGTTCCTTAATGTTGTGGGGACGCAACCAAGGCTTGGCCTTTTTCTTTGCAACAAGACACACTCAAAGCCGAGGTTGAAATCAGATGATCACAGGCGCTTAGGCGCAAACTGGCCGCACTGGAGGCAGCGCCTCGGGGCTGAACCGAAGGGTCAGGACGAGAGACTTTGGCTGTCACAAAGGCTAGCGCTGGTTGGCGAAGTTAGCGCTATCGAAAAAGCTCACTGTCCAGTCGCAATACATCTGAGGCGGTGTAGGGCATTCGCGAGCAAAGGTTTCAGGAGCACTAGCAAAGCAGGAATTGTCAGGGACCTGAGGTTTGCCCAGCAAGGGGAGGGCACCTCACATGTTGAGCAGCATTGCCATTGCCTGGGACGTTGGCTGGGCAAATTTCCGCTGGAATGCTTCGCAGCACTCGGCATGCACCGCACCTGCAGCAGCTGATCAGTTGACAGAAGCTCCAGTGTTGCACCTGCTTCGTGTAAACCTCTCCCTATACTTTCCCAGTTCACCGGAAGAAGGACAAACTGTTGATGTTCTGGTATCGAAATACTGTCGGGAACCCGATTTACAGAAAAGGGACAAAAGGAGAGAAGGGAAGACAAAAGGAGAGAAGGGAACAAGTGCACAACTGAGTCCCAAAACGGTGAAAGTTACGTCCCACACTTGATGTCGTTGTCGACTGACAGGCTGTTGTTCTTCCGGCCTAGCTTCTGTGTCTCCACGTCTCAACACAGAAATGCCTTGAACGGAACTCCCTCTTTAGAGGTCCTGAAAGCCCCAGATTCAGGAGCAAGAAGGGCTTCTGAAGCTTTCCCACACCTTACGGACTCATCGCCCATTGCCTCCAGGGTGGTCGCCCAGCTTCTGTGCCTCAAACTGGAAGAACTTGCCTGGCAGAATGCACGGTCTGTGCGATTGGACGAGATGCTCTTTGAGAGGGGCCAGGTTTCTTTGTCAGCGTGATTCGTGCAGCAAACATCTTGCAAAACTAGCGAGCTGTGGGCGCCGGCGATTCAGCGTCCATGTCTTGCTCTTGACAAGCTGAGCACGTTTTCCTGGCAGCTTCCAACTTAGAAGTAAAAGCCGCACATTGTACTTTTGACTACTTCTCATTGTTTTGGTATTGTCCCACATGTTCCAATTCAGGAGAAAACGAAAAGGCACGAGCTTGGAAAAAGTGGAACAGAGCTACTTTATCATTGAAGTGAAATTGGCGGGCTTTTTCTATTCACCATAAGTTTTTCTTTGGAAGTACATTTCGAGTGAAGTGCGCCGATTTGGAATTCTAGAGCTCTTTGTGCGGCGAGATAGCTTTAAAGAAGCGCTTCTTGGCGTGTCAATTGGATAGTCTCTCACCTGCCAATGCCAGCTTCAGTTCCGATTCTAAATGCTGGGCGGACCGGACTAAGAGACGGATGCAAACGCCAATGGAGCGTGTCCAGAAGATGGAAGAAATGCCCAAGCTCAAAGAAAATAACTGCCCCTTTCCAGGAAGTTGGGAAGGTGTAGGGGGACTTTGAAAACCACGAAACTGCGAATCAAATCCTGAGACTAAGGGTTGGACGTGAATGGAGCGAACCATGGAGGCACTGTTCACCACTACATCTTCACCAGCAGCCGGCACCAAATGACACCAATTGGGAGGCTCCAGTGGCCAAAGGGAAAAAAGTGACCTACCGCAGTGCAGGTCCGTGCGCATCAAGTCATCCCGTGCATGCCTCCAAAGCCGTTGATCTGTGCGACGGGCTTGGCGCAGTGAATGCACCGCTGCGCAGTGCGCCTCGGAGCTACGAGTCTCTCTGTGTTGGCTTCTGAGGTGGCTGCAACATTATTATTCTTTTGGGTCCCCTGTTTGAAGACACACCCATGCGTCTTGCAGCAAACTGGAGGATGGACGTTTTCAACAGCCGAAGGGGCTCGCCTCTGCTCTTCAAACAAATTTCCTCCAAACGAAATAGCTAGGTACAAACAAAGAGTTCTAGGCAAACTGCCGGGACAAGCAAGTTTCCGCCACGATCACCATCCCCTGCACCGGCACCAGCCAAGGAGATGGCTGCATGTAGCTGGCATAGCACTCCTGCCGAAAAAAAGGTTGCACGCCCGGTTTGCTCCAGGCTTTGGGATCCACACCCAACCACCGAAGCAAAAACACAAACTGGTGTGCTCAAACCCCCAAACTTCGATTGTGAAACCGTCCGTATTTGAGCTTTTACGTTTTGGGTTGCCCAAAGGGGCAAGAATGGGAAGCAACAATCCTCGCTTTGACACCTGAGTGGCTTTGGCCCGGTGCCATTGGCGTTTAGCCGCGGGAGATTCAAAGCCTCAAGGCCCTTGCCCTCTCCTCATGAACTGCACCCGTGTCCAGCTTGTGGTATGCGCCGCTGAAGCGCCCAGGCCTTGCCCAATTAGCCCACCATGCGGGTGACTTTGTCTCACAAACCGCCATTCTGAAATTCACACTTGCTGGGTGCCATCTACAATAATATCATGGCCTATAGGTTTCTGAGGACAGCACACGGCCGTGCCAACAGGCGCGCTGCATTCAGCACCTGGGCTACCGTGATAGGTTGAATTGGTGTTCGAGAAAAGGCAGCGAAAAGGCAGCCGCCTTTGCGCTTTCATACCCGATGCAGAGCAGAAACCAAGAGGTGCGTGGTGGGTGGTGAAGAACAACCGCTTTGTTGGACCGTACTGCTTCGGCTTGGCCTTTGCCAAGGGTCAAACGAAAATTCAATCTTTCTCGCCCACCCCCCTCTCCATAATGATACAGAACGTGAGGCTCTGGCAGGGTTCGGCTGCAGCCTGCCAGCTATAGCTGGCTGAGAACGCCTTGTTGGGGTCAAGCCACGACACCACCGTCAGCTGGCCTTGGTTTAAACTGCCGTCATGTCGAGACTAATTCAGCCTTGTTGGGCTACCTTTGCAGGGCCTTCCAAGCCACTGGGAAGGATTTTGGGCCCACTATGGCCACACTGGAAAACAAGTTGCTCCGTCGTCGAATGGTTGCTCCGGTTGCAGCTCAGGCTCGTTGACCTGGCTGAAGCTCCACCACCTGCACGTGCTTCTCAGCGACGCCCGCGGCTTGAACGCTGCCAGCCCAGTCTGGGAAATGCGGCTGCAGCAGGGCGTTCCTTGGATGTCTGTCTCAGCCAGCCCTTCCCAACCCACCAACCTCAAAGGTTGACTGGAGTCTTTTGGACCCCAATCAATTCCCGTCAATAGGGACAGGGCTTCATGGTGGGTCCCATGTTAGTGGGACCCTACTTCGCAGCCTGTGACATGACTCTTTCAACAAACAGCTGCGACAAACAGGAACTGATAGCCGTGACAGGTCCTTCTTGTGATCCTGGAGCCTGAGCGGTTGCAGTCTATATATATAGCTTAGTCAAGCAAACTTCTTCACTGATAAAACAAAGTAATTAACTTGTTTTTGAAACCGGGCGGCAGTTCATAACCACCACACATGCAGATCACCTGCCCAAAACGACCCCCCCGACAATCTTACACGAGCTACACCCTTTTGCAGCTCCTTGACATAGAGCCCGAATACAAACCCCAGCCCCACCACTGCGACCCAAGCGTCTGCAGTGTCCAGCTCACCGAGGCCAGGAGGCCCGCTGGAGCACTGGTGGCGTCCAGCAGCAGCACAACGGTGCCCGCCTCGCGGTCGCTCCAGCAACGGAGCTGCGCCCCTGGCCGTTTGCATTTGAGGCCTGATCAGCTTTGATCTGTTTGTTTGGGCCCCTCCCGCCCAAAATACTTCCAGGGAATGGGTGAATGCAATCAACGTACCTATATAACATGAGAAAGTTGGGCCAACCCCGAATCAAGACATACCCTTCAGGGCGCTGCCCTAGTGATTTTCCTACGTGGTTGACTCGCTTGGCACTTGATGATGAGCGATTGGGTGCCGTGGTTGCCGTGGGTGCAGCAGTGGGAAGGGTGATTTAGCGCCAAAGGCAATTTCGCTTTCCGTCGCCATTCCTCCGAGCCAATTCGCCAGTCTGCTCTGGGAAACCCCAGCACCCCACCCACTTCGAGTACTCTCCCAGTTGCCCAGTTGCTCATGACCCTGCCCCTGCCAGGTTCACCATGCGTGGGTGCCGAAACCACCAAACTATGAGTATGTGAGGGCACCACAATAATTGTGCTTGTTCTTGTGGCTTCCCTCAATACCAACCTGAAAGCTGCGCCCCCAAACAAACAAACAAACACATAAGATCAAATAAGCAAGCAGGCAAGCAGGCAAGCAGGCAAGCAGGCAAGCAGGCAAGCAGGCAAGCAAACAATCAGCGAAACAAACAAACCAACACACACTGTTGGGGCATCTTTCAACTCCCGTGAAACTTTGTGGTACAATCATCCATTGAAACGGCCAGCAGGCGCAACAGGGGGATAACGAGGGTTTTGGTTGCTGGTCCTTAGGGGTCACTTGAGGTCACCTTTTAGGCCTCGCCCCCGCCTTGTTCCTCTTTGAGGCACTTGCCACGTGGCCCCATGGCGGCCGCTTCGTAGGCTTCCCGCCGCGCTTGGTTGGAAGACACGTTTGGGCACAGCTTGGCCCGGCAGGGCGCGTAGACCTCGGCTCGTCCGGCTCATGGCTCTCACGGCTGACTCGCCGTGAAGAAATGACACGTCGCAAGTTCTCGAAAGTGCGGCCCCCCTGCTTCAATGCTCTTGACTGGCTGCGTTGCTTCGGCAAGGCGGCACATTAATCATGCAAACCTCCAATCCCAATCCCTGGTCAGCAAGCAAGGCCGTGGTGAATCCCTTCCTTTGTCTCAGGAGTGGCTATGAGGCTATACCGGCTAGTGGGCTTCATGGGCCGCATGCCGAGCCGCCCGCAGCGTGCAATCGCTGTTCCAACTTTGCGGCGGCGTGGCTTGGAGCCAATGAACCACCGCCAAGTACGTCACCCCTGTCAAAACCCGAAGCGAGAGTCGTGAGTCGAAAGCTGTCCTTGTGAAATCCCCGGCGAAGCATGCCAGTCCCCAAGCCAAGCACACTCTGTGTGTGTGTGTGGGTGTGTTTCAGTGTTGCTGTCTTGCCACTAAGTTGTTGCTTTGCCGTTGTTCCCCAAGCCAGGGCCTGTGAGAAAGCCCCCGCCTGGCTTCAGATTCGCCTCCAAGACAACCTCCCTTTGCATAGCGAAGGAGGAGGACGCTACGTGCCGAGCTCCCTGTGTGCATTGCCTCAGCCCAGCTCAACCATGCAACCCGCACAGCCTCGCGACTCCAACTCAGGCCGAGCGGCGTCGCCGCGCCGCCCGGGCTGCCTGGTGAGGTGAACCTCAGGCAGGGAGAAGATGTGCTTTGATCACAATGCGCCACAATGTTCGCCATTGTCACAACACATTCTACTCCGTGATTTGCGGTCAGAACCATTGCTACCGCAGCCTTCGCTTTGACAATGTTATCTGAACCATAATGCTCAGAAGCATCGCATCTCAAACCACATTTGTTTTTTTACTATATATATATATATATGTATGTTTGACGTTGAACAGGTGGCCTCTTCCAGCTCTGTCCACGGCTCAGTTGATTTTATCAAGGGCAACCTAAATGAAACGAACGTGGGCCCCCAATGCCAGAGACATTGACATAACAACATCAGTTGGGGAACGCCCACTCCAATGCTTTGTACCCCCATTGCCCCCCAGTCTGTTGATGTTGCCGCACATTCTCAGGCAGTTGTCACTTCCCTTGATCGAACCCGAGCCAGGCCACTCCAGCAACTCAATGCGCGCAGCCGAGTACTTCCGCCGCTTGTTTCGGTTGAAGGGCTCATCTGACTCCTGGATCACGGACACCACCACCTGCCAGGACATCGCCCTCAGAATTATTCGCTCGCTCAAAGCACTTGGAAACAAAAAGCAACGCTTCCGGAGGCAAGTGTTACAATACTCACAAACAACTCATGAAGCACTTTTTTCGACATCTCCAAGAAAGTCATTGATTTGCCGTCTCGACATAAGGGAGCTGAAGCAGAAAGAAACAGGAAGCCTTCGCCCCAGAGAGCAAGTCATGCACATCCCACGGCTAACCACAATCTCTGGGAGTATGGCTTTGAAAGACATGCGCGACAATTGCGCATGCCTGAAATTGGCAAACTGAACCGCTGACATATGCCTTCACCTTCCACTGGCCAACCGTCACATTCCTTCAGGCAACCTCCGCAAACGTCCCGCCAGCCCTTTGACCCACCTCACAGGGCTTCTGGCCCTCCGCAACCAGCTCCAGCGTGCAGTTCGCCTGCCGGCACTCACAACATGCAACACGTGGGGGTGCCAGCAGCGCCATTCCGCCACTCTACCAGTGATGTGAACCGTCATTGAGTGCATGGCAAAGAGGGCTTGCCAGATTCTTCATCTCAACTCGCTCTTTGAAACTGGCCCTAACTGCGCGAGCCATTCTAGTTTTGCCGCTCGCACGTACGGTGTCATATGCAGCCTTCGTGACTCGACTCAATGCCAACCGATGCCAACAAGCTGCAATTCAGCTTTGCTGTGTCCGGGGGATATGCGGAAGGACTTTCCCGGCCTGCGAGGCTTTGCCGGCCTGAGGCGCCAAGCGGCAAAGAGAAGACACGTGGCCAGGGCCTTGGCCGAGCAAACAGCGCCGCTAGGATACTCTGCCCACTTTGAACCATCCAGCACCAGCGATAGAATTCTCAATGTATTGACTGGTTTTGGGGGCTGGTACTGGAAAAGGGCTGCACACAGCTCTGACCGATGATCTCGCACCCCGAATCATTTGACATGAGCGGGGTCGCAAAGGGCTGGCACGTATCCAGCAGGACTTCCAATATGATTATGTATGTCTGGCATCGGCCAACGTTTGAGCCAAGACACGGTACTTCGACACTCCCACCGTGGAAAACTCTTCGCAAAAGTCTGCCTGAGGTCAGGTAAGCCAATGAGATCATGCCCATTCAAATGGTATTCTATTGTGCCGACACATTGACTTTGGACCTTGAACCGTTTCGCCATCCAACAGCATTGGGTCCGACTTCGCGACTTTCGCATCACTCCCAAGCAGAGTGACCCACATTATCAGTCTGACCCAGACACAAACAAACGCACAAACAAACGCACAAACATGCGGCACACAGGCGCAACCACATGAACACACACACACACACACACACACACACACACACACACACACACACACACACACACACACACACACACACACACACACACACACACACACACACACACACACACACACACACACACACACACACACACACACACACACACACACACACACACACACACACACACACACACACACACACACACACACACACACACACACACACACACACACACACACACACACACACACACACACACACACACACACACACACACACACACACACACACACACACACACACACACACACACACACACACACACACACACACACACACACACACACACACACACACACACACACACACACACACACACACACACACACACACACACACACACACACACACACACACACACACACACACACACACACACACACACACACACACACACACGGCATCATGCAGCAAGCTGCCACCATCGCATTTCGAAAAGCCAGGCTGCAAAGCGGATCCAAAAGGTACCAGCATCTACTTCTTGAAGAGGCCCCTCCGGACCTTCCTGCGGTGGATCTGACATTCTTGATGGTTGATCTGGTCGGTGAGGTCAAGCCAGCCACTGTGACTGTTCTGTTCAACATGCATCTGCTTGCCATCAACCGATGAACGAGTCAATTCAAACCTGAATCGCTACCAGGCTACCTGGACCCTTGTTGCTTTTTCCATCTTGCTGCTCGCTTCTGGTCCAGGATTTAGACGGCCTTGATCTGGCCTTCTCAGGGCCACCCTGCCTGCTCGTCGGGCTTGGCCTCTGGCCTCCTGCGGGCATCCTTGCGCTTGCCGCACGGACTTGCTGCAGTTACAGCAAGGTGCGAGTTTCACTTCTTCCTCTGCGCTTCTGCTCTTCTGCTCTTCTTCTTTTTTCCTTCTTCTTCTTCTTCTTGTGTTGAGTTTGCCAGGCATCTTTGCAGCGACGCCAAGCTCAATGTTTGCCTACATGTTTGCCTGTTCAAGAGTTTCACCCCTGGCATGCAATAAATAACTCCTTTCAAAACGCAACGCCAAAGACCAAAACACGTTCTTGGTCCAGCAAAAGCAACAACCATGCCTTGCCAAGGTCGCAGTCGACAAAGGGCAAGATCCCTGGCTTCCGCCTCATTCAGGCCCAGCATACATGTATTCGCCTATTTGCGCGAGTGAACTTGAGACCAGTGCCCTGGACCTTTCCATCTGCCGGTCCTCAGCTCAGCGCATTTGTCATGTTCAAGGCTTGCCAAGGTTTCTATAAGTGCAAGTTGCCGTGCAGAACGCCAAATCCAAGCCATGAAGCGTATCTAGGTGGCTCACCCCCACGGGTTCCGCAAGCGCAGCCACCGCCTGGCCCGAGGGAGCTCGACTTCATCCGGGGTGCTTGCTTATGGATATATTTAAGGAGTGGTTCTGCTCACCTAAGTTAAAGTCTTCCCCATCTGTCCCCTTTCCACCCCAGGCTTCAGACTCTCGCTGTCCCACGTCAAGCTGCAAATCTGATCAAGCTGCAAATCGGATCAGCTTATAACAAAAGCGCTTGTTCCCGAGAGCACATGGGACATTTTTTTTGTTCTTCCCTGGGTTCAGTTTTTTGCGACCCATGTCCTCCCCAAACCATTTAAATAGACCACCAATCATATGAGTGACTCGTCTGCCTGCCCCTTCTCTCACCTTGGAACCCATTGCTCGCCCTCGAAATGCTAAGGCCCGAGCTCTGTACGAAACCAACTCTTGCCGCCATTTGCGGCCGCCTCTCCAAGCGAGAGCGCGGTGAGTCAGAGTCAGAAATCCGAGAATACTCTCGGCTCACTGGGCTCAAGCGATTAGAAACGGCCAAAGCAACCTGCGCTGAATAAGCTATGCATACTTAGCATACTTTGATGTCCGCAAGATTGGGCTGCTTCGGGTGATTGGGAAGGGCCACGGCCTCAACAGCAGAGAGGACGGTGTAACCTCAGCTGCAAAAAGAAACGGCTTCATCATTTGCATGCCCATATTGAAACTCAGCTTCACGCCTAAGACACCAACAATGGCCGAGAAACACCTGCTTTCGATAAACTCCCAAGGCCCCAACCAGGGTCCAAACGAGCCCAACCACACCAGTGCACCAAAGGCAAGACCAACAAACCTTCTTCAACCAAAAATAGAAACCGGTCAAGACTCTGGATTAGCACCTCTATTTCTCACTTCCCATCAAACATTTAAGCAACACTCCAGACCCTGGTCAAAACATGCGTTTTTGTTCAAATATACCGATCGACCGTAATTCGACAGGTTACACCGTACTGCTGGCGGGGTGCAATGGGCTCCCACGAGGCCTGTCACCTCGTCCACCTGGTCCTCCTCGTAATCGCTCTCCTCTTTAACCTGGCGCACCCGCTCAGCTGTCATGTGTTGGTGCGCGTGTTCATGTTGAAGCGGCCCTGCCCAGTCCAGCTGGCAGGCAAAAGCAATTCTTTGCGGCCATTTTTCGGTTGTACGTCGCCAATGGCATTTTGCGGTGTTCTGCAGTATGCGCAAAATAAGTGAGCAAGCTGTGGGGAATGCCAGCCTTGGGCTGACAAGTGTGTGGTTGGGCTGGCAAGTTAGGCATGCGATCATCGCTGGTTGAACCCATTCCCGGTTGGCACCAACAAAGCAAAGCAGCGCTCAAATAGGGAATCTTGGGGAAAGTAGTAGTAGTAGTAGTAGTAGTAGTAGTAGTAGTAGTAGTAGTAGTAGTAGTAGTAGTACTACTACTACTACGACTACTAGCACAACAACAACAACAACTACTACTACTTCTACTAGTACAACAACAACAACAACAACAACAACAACAACAACAACAACAACAACAACAACAACAACAACAACAACAACAACAACAACAACAACAACAACAACAACAACAACAACAACAACAACAACAACAACAACAACAACAACAACAACAACAACAACAACAACAACAACAACAACAACAACAACAACAACAACAACAACAACAAGTCGTAATTGTAGTGGCAGTACTGGCAGTATTGGCAGTAGTAGTAGTAGTAGTAGTAGTAGTAGTAGTAGTAGTAGTAGTAGTAGTAGTAGTAGTGAGTGCTATTAGTAGTAGTCGTCGTAGTATTCCTTTACCAAACCTTGCGGTTCAAAATGCCGGCTGACAAATGACATACCAATGCCACGAAAAACTGCCCATCGCCGACCCCTGCGGACTGCCGTCCCAGCGGTCCTCTACTGCTGGTGGGGCCTGAGAGAAGAGGCGGGCGAAAAAGCCTGCCCAGGTGCTCAATGCGATCAGTGCGGGGGGGGGGCCTTGGATCCAGCTGCGGGGCCATGAACACAAAACACAACGAGACCTGGTCGCACTCAATGTGCTCGGGCCCTTGTGGTGACTGTGTCTCATGTCTTTAACACTGATGCGTCTTGTATGACATTTGTGCGCACAGTATCTGTAAACGTTGGGACGTTGAATCGGTGCGTGGTGCAACCAACATGTCCATCAACACCTGGCTGAAACGCTCCGCAAGTGTGAGACACAAAGGGCAGAAGCCCAAAACAAGGCGTACGCCGGCCACAAGCAGCGCCTTGGCAGCCCACTCAAAAACACAAGCAGAGACAGCCTCTGGGTCATGCCGCACGTCCACATCGCCGAAACTCAGAACGCTTGCCCTGGGCAGGCGCCCCCTACATGTGAGCTTCAGGGGCTAGCCGCCCACAAAACGTGAACATCCTTTCAGCATCGATACGTTTGAGAAAGCGCACACGAATTAGCAGCGCGTCAACCAGCAGCACAGTCAAGCAAGCGCAGTCAGAGGCAATGAGGGTGCACAAACTCAATAGCGACAAGGGGATGCCCTCCGCTTGCACCACCGTCAGCCACCAACAGGGAAAACCACCCCCACCACAGATATAAAAGGCTGGACGGACCAAATCGAGCACGGCGACCAGGTTTGTTGACGTAGGATGCAGTCGAGCGGCTTTGAGCAAAATTGCCCAAGCAACCCTTCATGGGTGAGCTCCATATACCACCAGAGCTCGCCAAAACTAGCGCAGGCGTGATGCACAAGGCACTCCTGCTGAAACCAAGCCTTCTTCTACAGGTGGTGGCTTCTTCTTGCCTTGGCAGCTGGCCTCAGTTTTCCAACTTCCCAAAAAAAGCCCTTGGCACACGTTTCCAGGCTGATATGATCGGAGCACACATCACACTTTCCCTTCTTAGTGTGAGCCACGTCTAGGATTCTTCAGGCTGGGGCATTGACAAAGTGAGGCATCCCTTTTCCGTAATGTGGGCATCAGCTGGGGCACCCTCCATTGAAATTCTTGACAAAGCCTGCGTTGCTTGCAAGCCACTGTCGCTTGAGGGACGGCTGCCGGCATTCTAAAAGGTTGGCTTTTGCAGTTTGCAGTGACGTGACATCCCATGGGGCTGCTGCACACATGGGCTGCCGCTTTTTCGTGGCGCCCTCCAGCGCCTGCCATACCTTCTCCTGACAAAATGGAGGTCGCCAGTTGGGCCAGCCGCTTGTTTGGATAAGGTTTGACGTCAGCGTTTCTGCCCCTCCGGCGACAAAACCAGGCAAACTTGCAATGCAAGCGAGCTGCAGGACCCCAACGCGCTCAAGTTCCTTTCCGAGCAAAGACACACAAAAAAACAAAACAAACAACGGATGGAAAGCAAACAGCAAACCGTGGTAAATCGTGCACAGACAGCAAGCAGGGCAAACATAACACAAACTAAAACAGACTTGCGTCATGACATGACAAGAAACCGTGTGATTTGGGGTGACAGTTGTCACCGACCTTTGTCATGCCCGAAATTCCAGGCCTTGGTGTCCCGCTCCGGGCCTGCCAGGATCGGCCAAGGCTCAAGCTCGGGCTCAAACCTTCCATGTAATTATGACTCATGTGCTCACGTTTTCCTGCCGCATGACAAAGGAGTCCACAAGTTCCCAAGCAAGTTCTGAAAGCGAGGTCAGCGTTTCACATGAAGGCGCGCATGAATTATTCAAGATTGTTTGGGCATGTTGGCTATTCATCCCCGATGGGCATGCAGTTCGTGCAGCGCCCTGTTTTTCGTCTCGCCAGTCCGTCTGCTTTCAGCGGCTTGACCTCACGGTGCAGCAACCCTTTCGAGAGGTTCGTGACCTGAGGCCCATGCCTCTGTGTCATTCTAGGCCAAATTGCTACTGTTTCTTATGCTTTACGATTTGCATCGCGTAGCGGAAGCAACTTATACTTTCGGTCCATACCATCACAATTAGCATCTGTGCAGTATTCATAGCAATAGCTGCTGTGTTGTGATTAGATTCAAGCTTCCACACTCCACCCACACGCACATATATATATATATATATATGGTACAGCGTTGCCAGCCCCCCCCCCTCCCCCCCCAATGGTCATGGGTCAGCCAAGTACCCCCCCCCCCCCTGTGGTTGTGGTCCTGTGGTTGGGTTGTGGTGGTTTAGGGTCGGTTTAGAATTGGTTTAGGGTATATTTAGGGTGTATTTAGGGTTGGTTCAGGGTTGATTCAGGGTTGATTTAGGTTGATTTATGTTGATTTAGGAATTGTTTAGGGTTGGTTTAGGTTTAGAGGTGTACGGTTTAGGGTTTGGTTTAGGGTGTATTTAGGGTTGGTTTAGGGTTGGTTTAGGTTTAGGGTTTATTGTTTAGGGATTGGTTTAGGGTGTACTTGGGGTTAGTTTAGGGTTGGTTTAGGGTTAGTTTAGGGTTGGTTTATGTTGATTTAGGGTTGGTTTAGGTTTAGAGGTCTACAATTTAGGGTTTGGTTTAGGGTGCATTTAGGGTTGGTTTAGGGATAGTTTAGGGTTGGTTTATGGTTAGTTGCGGGTTGGCTTGTCCTGGGGGTGGGGGTGCCGGGGTTTCTGGGTGCGAGTTCAGGGGGACGGGGTGGGGGTGGGACCGTAGGTGCCAGGATCCGGGGGCTCGGGGTCTCGGGCCCGGAAAGGGGCTTGGGGGACCATACCATATGGGGGGGGGGGGGTAGCAACACGGAACACGGGACCATATATATGAGTGTGTGTGTGTGTTGCACCTGCCACTAATGAGCAGCCCATTCCTTCATCCGGCCACCTTGAAGGCTCAGGCCTTTGCTCAAGCTCTGCCCTTCGGTCGGGCCGCAGTGCTGGAACGCAGCCATGACTCTGGCGCTGAACTCTTGGAAGAACTCCAGTGGAAGCTTCATGTGCCCTGCACGTGCGGCAAATTTCGCCATGGAATGCTTCAGTGCGGGGGAAAGTTCAGTCCCGCCCTTGAAGGCATGTCTGATTCTCCCCCCCCCCCCCGCCAAGGCACGGTCATAGGTAAGCAACCCATTCACCTCGGTCTCCACATCATTCCACTGTGTGTAGATCGCCGCTCCCACGCCCATGCCTGGGGAGTCGAAAGCAAGGCAAACATCCTGTTACCAAAACCCAACGTTGGCAAGACTTGCTGGAAACTTGAGCAGTTTGGTCTCACATTCTTGATGCATGCTGCACCGTTCCTTCAAAGGCGTGCCTCCCCCCCCCCCCCACAGGTTCTTGGCCACAAAAACGCCCTAGCAAATTGGCAGTCCACTTCCGCAAATGGGGCAAGCTCTCCGTCTGAGGCACTCTCTGCAGCTTCCCTGCCCTTTCGAGTATTATTTTTCCACTCTAGCAAAGGGAGCTGAAACACGGCTTTTTCAATATGCGCCTCTGGGCCACTTGCCAAGCTGCAAATGGCTTGCGCCAAACGCCCCAGCAGCTTCTCCAAGCCCACGGCCAACACTTCCTGGGCTACACGTTCAACCCCGAGAACTCCGGCCCCACCACAAAACTCCTCCCATGAATCTGGTCTGTCGCCTCACATCAGAACCATGCTTTAACACGAGCCCAGTAATCAATGGCCCACACAGGCAAGCGCAAGGTTGCCTCAGCTGGGACGTTGTTCTTGACATGTACACGTGTACGCCCTTGCCGGAAGCATGGAATTTGGTTGCTGCTGGATGCTGATCCTGTTGGCCCCAACTTCGGCCAGGCTTCGACATCTCTATTCACCTCTTTGTCGCCGTAGCCCCATGCAGTATGTGACCAAAGATGTCCGTCGATGGCGCACCCCAGGCCACCGTACTCGCCAAGAACTGGAATACGGCCTTGCATTGGGATGCAAAGCCAACACATCTCAAACTGGCAGTAGCAATTACTTGCATCATTTTGTTGACAACACCAGTACGTGCTAATGTTGAATCCCACCATTGCGGTGTCATGGAATTATGCAAGCGCTGTGAAAGCTGCAAGCTGCTCACTGCTTGGCGCATCTCGCATGCTGCTCCTCGTTTTTACCACTCATATCGCTCTGCCCGAAGCCTGGCTTTTCCAGGCCCCGCAGGTTGATCGCAGCTAAGAATTGCATTAGAATGCCATGAGGCATCGACTTTGGCTTCATGTGTCTTGGGCATATTCGTGGGATCGCGCAAACAAGCTGGCACCCCAGCCCCTCTCACAGGGATCAACGCCATCATCCGCTGGATCTTTGCCCCCTGCAAGAACTTCAGGTGACCAATTCATCCTGCGGTGCCGCGGGCAAGGGAGCAGGGCGGCACACAAACGCACAAAGACGGAAACCGCACAGTGATGCAATGGTAACACATTGGTGCCGTTGGCTCTGGCGTGGAGGCAGCCCCCCAGCCACCCCCAAGCCCAAGCCATCCGCAAATGCAATGCAGCCCGCCCGCCTGGCCGTTTGGCCTGCCCACGAGTCGAAAGCTCTGAACCTTCAACACGCCCGGCCGGTGCCTTGACTCGCCGCAGGACATGCACGCTCCACGCTGGCGGGAACACCAAATTCATTTGAAAAATCCTCCCCCATCAAAAAGCAAACAGCAGCAGCATCCCCAAAGCGGGACTTGATAAGATGATGTTAACCAATTGTGAGGCTGTTCTGCAGAGCCTGCCCAAGTCTGCAAACGGCATTAGCCTTGACCTGAGAGTGACCGGCATTCGCTAAAGTGACAAAATACTCCCTGCAACCTTTTTATATGCAGTATTCTCTGCCTTGCAGCACCTTTTTTCAGCGTTTGTTTGGAATGCCTTCTAGGTGTAGGCTTTGAATGCTCTTTCTCGGTTGAGTCCTGCTCCCTGTTTGCGCTTCTAGATTTCCCAGTGTTCTGGAATTTCATTCCATCTGGCCCAAAATTGGGGTTCTGAGCCGAGCCCCTCTCAGCGACCGACTGCTGACCGAGCTGCGAGGTACTGTCCACGTGCAGGGAGCTCCCATCATGCCGCAACAGGCGCTGCAGCTTTTGGCGGCGCAGCCAGGAGATCCAGGCGCCAGGGTCCTCGAGGGCAATACGCGGGAGATGCTCTCTGCAAATGAACACTTGGCTTTGTCTTCCGTTCATGCACATGTGCATGAGTGCGAATTTAGAAGGTGTTTGCCTTCAGGCCGAGAAAACAGCATAACACACCCGTCAAACATAAGTAGGAGGTACGACAAAGTTCAGCACACTCGTGAAGAGCTATGATGACAACATCGCCGTTGATGGATTGGGTTGGATTGGATTGCAGATTCATTGATTGATCCATCGATTGATTGGTTAATTAATGACTTGATGGGTTGATTGCTTGATTGGATGGGACGGGATTTGATGGATGGACGGATTTGATTGGATTAGGTTGGATTGGATGAGGGGCGGATGGGTTCGCACTGTTCGCTGTGATGGGCAACCAGGGCCCGCTGCGCGCAACCAGGGCCAACAGTCGCAGGAAACATTGGCATGGTTTGGATTACGGTTCGCGTGTGCCTCCGGAAGAAGTGATCCATCCAAATAACCGCTGATTTTGCAATGTTCCTCAAAACAAACGGACACCTGTCTGTGCCCCACCAGCCACATTCAAAGGCCTTCACGGTGGCTGTCCTCACATAAGATGGGAATGGATTGGTAGGGCCAAACATGTGAAGTCTTACTATCTCATCGCCGCAAATTGGATCAATGGCGAATGATATCAACATACAGAGATTGGCCCACCAGCATCACGCGACTTGTCTTCCTGCACCTTTTCGAACTATCACTGCATGTATTCAACATGCATGCATGCAAGCATGCATGAATGATCATGAATGCATATGCATGTATGTGGCAAGTATGCACATAGATGTAGCCAAACACATTAACATCATTCCTCATTACTCCCTGGATGGGAGAGCCATCCATTATGGTTTGATGAAGGCTGTGGAAGCCCCGCGGCCTTCTTCCGCGCGTCTTCAAGGCCTTCTTCCTCCCACTCGTCGGGCTCCTTCCTTCCAGCCATTGCGTCGCGAATGGATCGCTCGAAATGGTCGCAGGACTCTTGGAAATCTGCAGCGTTGGCGATGAGCGTCCTCAGGGCCAGGACGCTATTCAAAGCAGCACACGTTGACAGCACAGAGTTCAACAAAAGTCCTAGCACTTGAAAAGAAATCCAGCGCCCGTGGGAAGGAACAACTCGTGGAGACTTGGTGAATCAAACCTTGACCCCGAGGGAACGTACTACACGTAGGGGCGCGAACCACACCATGTCTAGCTACCCTTCCATTACATAGCTGTTGATGTGGGAACTGGGAAAATCAGGGATGGAGCAAATGTCTGTGGCATATGGCCGGTCCTCATTCCAAGAACTTCTTGACTGCTTGCTTCCGGGCCACCACTGCTTATTTTCAACATGTCATCTTAAAGGAGCAATGCTTTCTTGAGATCCTATCCTGTATGCTGACTCCTCCTCCCCCGCCTGGAGTTCACCAGGGCCGCCCTGGGCAGGTTCTTCAGCGTGGCAGACAGTGCCACCGCCAGCGCCCGGTTGCTCCGCGCCTGGCACTCCCGTGCCAAGGCCTTCAAGGCCTTCAAGTCCTCGGCGGGACCCACCGGCCGCAACAGCAGCAGGTGGGGGCACTCAGACGCCAAGGCCAGGAGCACTAGCAGGGCCGCCAAACTCGAGGCTGGCCTCTGGGCAAATGCGGCAAATGACCCAAACCTCAAGTAAGATGGTTGGAGAGAACAATCTGGGGCTGGACGACCAGAGCATGCATTCCCGGCTGACACTGATTGCCCAAGGTTGAATCCTGATAGCCCAATGGCGGGCCTTTGGTATGTCCCTAGCCAACCGTCCGGCCTCAGGAAGACGTAGACGGGGGAGCCCGACCCCGGCCAACCGTGATCCTGCTACTCGAGTTGACCGGCCATGTCCCTTATATCAAGGGTGGTCCCCAAGTCCCATTTTCCATTTTCCTAGTCTTGCCAAGAAGGTTCTCCAAATGCGGCGGGAACGATTTGCAGGGCTGATTGTGGCTTACCTGTGTCCATTGGGTGTCCTTTTCAATTGTACCTGCTTGGTGGTGTAAAACAACGAAAGGAACAAAATCGCTTTTGGGAGGTGCCCTTTCTTGAGACAAAATCATTTGAATCATTTCGGACATCTCGGTATTGGGGGACAACCCCCCCAACAAAAAAACACAAAAATAGAAAAGAAGGGATAACAACAAAACACCTCCGGTCAGACACCAGCATGATGTTACTCTATTGTGGATTTTTTTCGCAATTCAGGATCCTGTGACTGTTTTAGGGGTCCGCTATTGTGTCATGTTTTTCCCCTCCCCAAAAAAATCAAAAAAGTACAGGCTTGTTTGTTTTCAACTCTCTGGCTCAGGTCGGGCTCAGGCTAGACTAAGCCTTAGCTGCTGTTGAGCTGGAGGCTGGTTCTGAGCTAGGCTGAGGTCTGGGAAATGAATTTTCCAAATTGTGCCAAAACCATCAAATTTATGATAACTTCTTTACAAAAAAGCAAGGTGATTCAATCCCACAGGGCAACCCTGATCCTCTTTAGTGTGATTGTTTTTGTGTCCCCTTTAGTGTTCAACTGGTTTTGGGGGGTTCCTGAAATTCCCAAGCCAAGGCCTTTTGCTTTTAAGGGTGGCTCATTCTAAGCTCTCCCCAGCTCAAAGGTTAAAGGCCTGAGGTCTAGGAAATCCATTTTGCAAGTTGTGCCCAAACCATCAAATTTATGATAACTTCTTTACAAAAAAACAAGGTGAATCAATCACACAAAGGGGGTATGGTAGCCCACAACCAACCCTGATCCTCTTTAGTGTGATTGTTTTTGGGTTCTCTTTAGTGTTCAACTGGTTTTGGGAGCAAATCTCAAAAGGAAGCTCTACCAATACTAAATCAAATGGAAACTCAGTTCCAAATCTCAAAAGGAAGCCCCAGCAATACTAAATCAAATGGAAACTCAGTTCCAAATCTCAACAGGAAGCTCCAGCAATACTAAATCAAATGGACACTCAAGTCTACCCATACTAACACTAAATCAGAAACTCAGTTCCAAATCTTAAAAGGAAGCTCCAGCAATACTAAATCAAATGGAAACTCAAGTCTACCAATACTAAATCAATTTGAAAGTCCCACCCAGACCCGCAGGGTTGCCAGAAAAGAGGGTCCCGCTCACATTAAAGCAGGTCCAACATTACCCACCAAACAGAGGTTGCCCTTTGTCCTCGAAGAGCTGGCGCAGGCTCTGCAGTGTCTCAGGCTCGGCGCGGGCGATGAGCTCCTGCCGGGGGGCCAAGCACAAGGGCACCACAGCGCGGCGGTGCACCGTGGCGTGGAAGTAGGCGTAGAGGATCCTCAATACGATCTAGGTTTGTTGCCCGACTCTACCCATTGCTTTCTTCAAAAGACACGAATTGGAGTTGAAGCCTTTTTCGAGGGAGGGGCATGGAAAATGAGTCACTGAACGTTAATGGTTACTCACCACTTAAGTGCCCTGCCCCTTCAAGTGGAGCTCACTTTTCGGTTTTCCGACCAGCGCTTTTTTAACAAGCTCCAGGAACCAGGAAGTTGGCCAAGGGCCGAAGGTTGAAGGTTGAGCAGCAACAGACCCTTGCCTCCTTTAAGCGAAAACCAAAAGAAGAGACGCAGAAATGGTTCGTCCGTTGGGGCCAAGCCAAACTGACCGGGCCACACACGACAACGTTTAGGACCTTTTTCAAATGAAAAGGAACGGTTTGCAGTTTGACAACTCAAAAGGGGTGTGACAAATTAACGGACGAACACCACCCAACGGTGTAGTTGCTCCTAAATTTGCATGTCTTTCCCACTGGTCCTCTAGGAAAACATGTGCTAGCAGGGCCCAAGGATTGTGACTTCGCATCGTCCTAGCTGCAGCTGAAAGAGTAGTGTCAACAATGCACAAAAACACGAACACTGGGCACGCCAAAGTGGTAAGCTTTGGAAAACCGAGGGGCTCATGCGTTGCAGCTGCATCCACGCTCTGAGATTCTTCGTCCTCAGGTGCATCCAGCAATTGCCTGCAGCGATCCATGGTGGAAAGCGTAGAGGGGCTTCCGTCGAGCCAGTGCGGGGAGATAGCAGCTGTCAAAGCATGCAATGGAACCCGGTCAATATCACCAACCTTGTCAGCCAACGTGGCCTTGTGCTGCTGAAATCTTTGGACATTGGGAACGCTCGCCATCCAGCTCAGTTCACGTTCCAGCATCAGGTCATGAGTGCCTCTCTCTGCCAAAGGTCCTCCCACTTGCGGAGAAATGTCCAGTGGCTCGTCTCCTGCATAGGTCTGCTTCATATCGCTCAAAAGGCGGGCGTGCTTCACCACATCTACAGGAAACCCGGCTTCCACCACCTCCTTCAGGAGGTCGACCCCCCGCATCCACTCCCCAGTTCCCACGCAGGCCTCGATCAACAAGTTGTAGGCCTTGACCTTGGTCAATGAAAATGTCCAATCCCAAACCTAGGACTTGCACTGTGAACCACCTTGGTAAGTTTTGAGCGTATTCAAATCCGTTCAACCCTGAGAAGGATGCTCCAATCGTCCCAGTCACCCACTGCACCTTCCGCTCCAGCTCCTTGGTAGCCACCTCCCTCGCCAGCTCCGTGGCCTGAGGGTCCTGCGCCACCTGCGCCAGGCCTCGGCGCAGGTTTGTCAGCGGCTCCTGAAAGGTTGGGCCAACCCCCTGAAACACGTCAACCAACTAATGCAATTCGTATCGATTGGTTTAAACTCCTGCCGGCCTGTTGGAATTTCCCCTTTTTGAGGACTCGGCTTTGTCCGACCTGTCCTGCAAACCCAGCGCCCCAGCCCAGTCCCCCATGCCCAGGAAACCCTCCAGCAGCACGCGGAAGGACATCACGTCCGGCCCCGCATTCGCCGCCCTCATCCGCTCCAACATCTCCAAAGCCGCGTCCATGTCCCCACGGTAGCAGTGAATTCCCATCATAAGGTTCCAAGCCTGGGGCCCTGCGACGCTCCTCGTGCTCAGCCTTTCAAAGACCCGGGCGGCATCTTCGTAGAAGCCCGCCTTTGCAAGGCCCAGAAACACCGAGATGTAGTGCTTGTCCCGGGGCCGCGCACCGTCAGACCTCATGCTGGACAGCAGCTTCACGGCAAGCTCCAGCTGGCCCGCGTTCACCGACGCATCGAGCAAGTACTTGTAGGTGAACTGATCCCACCGGATGCCCGCTTCCTTCATCCGGTTGGCAACCTGCAAGGCATTTGTGAATTGGCCCGTGTCCGTGTAGGTCCTGACCAGTGCGTTGTAGTTGATGGTTGTTGGCTGGACCGTCAGCGTCTCCATAAGTCGCAGCAGCTGCCGTACTTCCGCAGTGGCATCATCGTGGCCCCAGCAAGCTTGCTGCAGGATGGCAAACACAACTCCGTCGAGCTGAACTGAACGGCGCTGCATCACGCCCAGTACGGTGAAGCAATCACGCAAGCGCCCCAAGCGCCGATATGCCGACATGAGTGTGGCATACAATGGCGACTTCTCTAGCCTGGGATGGTCCGATGGTCCCATCTCACAAACTTTCGATGTGGCTTTCTGTAACAAAAGATTCACGCGCTGCATTTATGTGCACGGTGACTCCCCTTACTAGGTCCTTACTTCATCTTGCTTTCTTCAACCTGATCTTTGCTCCAGCCAATTGCTTAGACCCGCCAAGGCACGGCTTCTCAGTGTGAGGGTACGGCGATGCCATGGTCTGCTGAAGGAGCCTCTCCCCTCGCCGGACGTGAGCTTTCACGAGGTCCAGCCGGGGAGGCGACGCGTCAGCGAAGGCCACTGCCAGCGTCAGGTGGAGGAGAGGGTCCTCTCGCAAGCCTCGTGAGGCGCTTCTGGACCAAAGCTGTGCTGCCGCCACGCACCCCTGGCTGCGCACCACTGATGGGATCAGCAAGGTGTAGGTGGAAATGTCCGGAGCAGGGAGCCGCGGGTCTGCGGCCTCCTCCATGGACAAGAGTAGACCCCAGGCCTCTTCATCACGGTGGTCTGTGATGTAGGTGTGGACTACCTCGTTCCATGCTGCAAGGTCTGGGCATTGCGCTCGAAACCATGGCTCCACAGATTGAAAAAGAGCCACCGCCAGGTGGGAAGGTACATATTGCCAGCGGAACTCCCGGAGCAAGCACCGGAAAAAGTAGACGCTGTGGCGCAAGCATTCCTGGGCCAAAGCTGTCACTAACTGCTGGGCAGCCTCATCGTCCTTCAAGGATAGGGCGATGCGTGCGATCACCTCATGGTTCCTGACACTGCAAACACGCCGCAGCTTTGGAAGCCAACTGGCCTCAGTGACCTCAGCGGCATCGTCTTTCTCAGGGGGCGCTATGCTCGTCTCCTCTGCCAGGCGGCACACGTGGCGCCTGGGTCGACGCGGAGAGCTTCGCAGGCGGCCCAAGGCACAAAGGAACACGAGGGACTCCAATCCCGGCAGTTCCGGCCAGGGTTTTGCAAGATAGGTGTGGCTGACATAAAGAGCCGCACAGCCCTGTGTGCAAGGGACCTTCAAAAGCACAGGTCCGAAGCCACCCTCCAAGGCTGCCATGGCACAAGGGCACTACGCATGATGAGCCTATACAGAAACAAAGGCTCGCATTTGCATCTTGGGCCCTTGGCATTTGCATACACAAGTGGCTACTCATGTGACACTCTGCAAGTGCCGTTTCTCTCCCTTCCTCTCTCGCTCGCTTTCCATCTCTCTCTCTCTCTCTATCCTCAGGCGAAAGTGCCTGAAACATTGTAGCCCCAAGCGGCAAAGTTCAGGAAGCTCTCTGGCAAAGGTCCAAAGATCGAAGAGTTGTCTTCCTGACAGCTCACATCAGCCAAATGTCCTCTCAAGACTGTCTGAGCGGAGTAGGGGTGCAGGTCCTATGTTTGCCTCACAATGTCAGCTCAGAGCACGGCATGTAAATCGAACAAATACGCACCGACAATTCGGACATGAGTCTGCTTTTGACTGGGGGAGCCTTTGCCCAACAAATTCCGAGGCTCGTAGTTGTGGATATCCGCGAAGTGCCCCAAAGGCTCAAGCTCATTCCATCCAGAGGCCGCCTCAGCAAATTACTGGCCGGGTCAGCACAAGCGAAACTGGCAGGTCAATAGTGTGACCAAAAGAACAACAACAGTGATGATTTTTCGCTCAAGCACCCGCACTAGTTCCTGTCAACCCCTGACCCGATCTCCGACCCGAATTTTCAGGTTCGCCCGTGCGCTGCCCATTGCTCCTGGGGCTGCAGTGCAAGCGCGCCAAGAGGCATCAATCAGCCGAGTTGGATCAGCTTCGCGCACCCATTCAACGGTAGCCTCAGCCCCAGGAGTCACAAAGCGGGCTGCGTGCTTCAGCCCCAAAACATGTGCCGGGAGAAGGAGGAGAGCTAAAGCAGGACAGCAACTACGATCTCAACTGCAATAAACAATCTCCACCAGTCCAATGAGGCTATAAGGACACGTAAGCACATGCAATTCGCATGCACTGTTACAAGCACTGGCTTGACCATTGCACATGCGATTGGGCATGTAGAATCTTTCCAAACCTTGGGCCAGAGTAACGCTTTCTCGGGGCTGTGGCAGGAAGAACCACTGTCCCTGTGAATCCCAGGGACCTGAGGCCAGACCCGATTTGTGCAAACGGTGCGCACATCCAACGAAAATAAGGGAACCCCAGGAAAGAGGAAGCGGAGCTGCCTCACAGCTGAGCAGCGCACAAAGAGTCATACAAATGCCTCAATCTTGCTTCAGCCTTTCCAAATGGTTGGGTTCCCTCATGCAAACTTTTGGAAGCAACTGCAGGATGCTACAACGGCAGCTTCCAGGAGAGTTCCAGGGGCTGAATGCTGTTTGATGCTGGTTGGGATTTGCTTGCAAGACTTGGGGGTTTCTGATCACTCAGTATCAATGTGGAAAGCGCCGAGATGCGGCCGTCTCCGCCTGGCCCCAGCCCTCGTTGAAGAGCACCCAGGCCACGATGGAGGGGAAGGGTCGCAGCCAGCGCAGCATCGCCTGCCAAGGAGGAAACCTGAAATCAAGTCATACGCAACCGACAGCGGCATGTGCACATATGTGCATGAGCCATTTGATACAGACATGAATATGTATACTGTATACATGTATCGAGGGATGTATCAATGGTTGTGTGCTTGCGTGCACGTATGCATGACTCTGTACATAATATGCAGAAGCACATGAGTAAAAGCAAAGGGCAGGAAGGGGCCCCCGTTTTAGGCTCCATGTCAGGTTGCAAAGAGTACTTCATCAATTCCTCCCCTTTTCGGGTGCATTGGCATGATGCGTGAGCCGAGCATGCAGCCTCCAGCTCCAGCCGGAAGGTGCTGCGGCTGGCCTCGCTGCGCCTGATCTCCTCGAGCCTGGAGGGCAAAGGAAACAACAGTTCTGGCAAGTGCTGAGCATCTGGCATCTTAGCGGCCAAAATGCACACAAATGAATCACCAAAACCTTGGATTCAATAGTGGTCTACCATTCATACATGTAAATAGTCAAACAATATCAAAAGAGCGAGGAGAAAGGGAACCTGACCCTGGACACCTGTGACAACGCCTTCCTTGGCAAAGGCATCCTGAAGTTAAAAAATGTGAGACTTGTGGATAACTCTCTCCTTGTGTCCTCATGGACGCGAAATAAACACACCCACAAATGATGCGCCTGACGCCAGCGCCCGCGCCAGTCCTCGACTCTAGCAAAGCAGCTAAGACCGACGATCAATGCATTTAATGCAGTTTGGGCCATGATTGGCTTGACATTCATGAATGGAGCATGAACGCCCGACACCACGGCACAAATTTCAGTGGAACAATGCCCCTCCGCCAAGTTCAAGCCATCGTACAAACGCGAGCTGCAAAATCAGCTTGGATGCTCCCATTGGCGCCCAATGGAATACCGAGAGTCTCTTCGGCTATGGCCCGACTGTCAGACCACAGCGGCATGGCTCTCATGTCCCCAGCAGGCATGTCCTGCGGTTGTTGGCTGCAAATCAGGCATACCAAATTGCGCAAAATCATAGAAAATGCATTTGGAGCCGAACAGGAAGTGATCAGGTGCTCTATGATTCTTTGATGCCTTCTGATGCAAACACTCCCCAAATCCCTGGATGGGGCGTAAAAAAATCATTCGCATGCCTCCCCAACTGCATTCGACCCACTGCATGCTCCTGCCACACCAGCAGGCCCAGCTCATCGCATAAAGCATAAAAGTCGGCGCCCATCACCACTGCATGTACCCGGACCGTGTTGAAGCCAGCAGCCTGGCTGATTGTCTGGTCGTGCCAGTTCGGAGAACGTCAAACATTTTTTCAGAGGTTCAACGCGTGTTTAACTTCCAACGCGTTATCCACGGCGGATCACCTTTTTGCATGAAAGGTCCAAGCGCAATTTGCCAACAAGCTCTCCTTGCTTGCTCTCGCTGCGCCATCCCGAATGTCCGGCAGCTTGCGATTAGCCTCAAGTAAGCCAAACCGTTTTGACACCCGCAATTCGGGTGAGTGGCTGCGTTTGATTCCCCTGCTTCCCTATCCTTACACAGTAGGATCAAAGCACAGCCAAACTGGCTCAACCCGGAAGCTTGAAACTCTGCACCCTGGCCTTGATGGCCTGGAGATCTCTTCGGATGGCGTTGGAGTCCGGCGGCGTAAGCAAAGACTCGGGCCAGTAGCCCTGAATCAGGAGTGTTCGATCTCTGACGATGTGAACCATGGCTTAGATACACAATGAAGTTCCCTACGTCCCTCCCAAATTTTACACTACTGCACTGTACTGCTTGATATTTTGAACGAACCCCACGTGGTCCCCACAGCAAGCAGCCATGTGCTCACACCGAAACGGAAGCAGTTGGCGACGCATTTTTCACATTGCCCTGAGCCTTACCCACAGCTCGATCTGTGCCATGTTGCGCCATCCGTCCCATCATACCTATCAATCCTGCCTGGTACAAAACTCCGTGCATGAAGACCGCCTGAAAGGATGTTGCGGATCGGGAGCCCGATGCACGAAAAGCAATCAAGAACTTGTACATTTTCCTTTCCAAGATGCGGCAACACATATCGACATGTCCACGGCTCAGTTGGCGCCAGCACCCACCGACATTGGCAGAACACGTGCCGTTTCAAAGGGAAATATGTCAGGTCTCACTCTCAGGATGGCCGCGAAACTCACTGTCAAAAAATACTGTCAATGAGGGCTCATGTGGCCTCGTGTAGGATTGCCTGTAACGGAAGGCTGGTCCACCAAATTGGGCAGCAAACCAACCTTGTTTGGTCTGGCGACTAGCATGCCAACCCAAAGTTCCACCGGCAACTAGGGTAGAGGTCCAACGCTTGCACCTAGAATATTAATATGGCCATGCACTCTGAGCGCACTTGCTCTCAAAGAGTCGTTCTTGCTTGGTGACCTTCAGCAGGGCCAACTTCTAGAGCCGGGAATAAGGAATCCCGTGTACGGGGCCTTCAGCATGTATGAGCTCGTTTCACCCTTGAGTTTTTAATGTGATGTCGGGATCATCGGCCCAAATCGTTGCCGCGCCTGGCCGTTGAGCTGCATGAGCCCGCCGCTGGCTGCCACATGGCGCCGGCCCAGGGAGGTGCGCAGCAGGTCGGACCCCATCGCCACAATGAGGTCGTAGAGCTGTGGCACCTGCAAAGCGCTTGGGGATGGTTTCTATTCTTGGGACCCTGGACAAATTGAAATGTGTACACTGTTGTGGGGTGATTTGAAGGGAAAATCTGCCTACAAGATAGTCGAGTCCAGAAACCGTGTGCTCCTGACAGCACATTGAAAACCATTCCCGTGGCACACCTGTATTTCAAATCAACTGCAGCGGCCTTGGCTGCTTGAAAGAGATGGGCCAGTGCATGCGTGGGTTTGACCTGCAGCTGAGTTCGTCAGCTGAGCATAAACCTTATGAGCAGCTTTCACCGGGGGCTTGGAAAGGAAGTGTAATCCCTACTGAGCTCTATCCTTAACACATTTGTCACACAGCCTCAGATTCGCGGATCACTCCGGCCAGTGGGCCCTCACTCATCTGCAAATGAATGCCGGTGAAAGCTATAGGTCTAGCTTGGGAGGCTACCAGGCAAATATGAGCAGTGCTTTTTTGTGGTTCGGGGCCTATACACTACTTGCACGCCTACGCGGAAGCCTCCTCAAGCCTACGCCGCTGCAAAGGGTGCCTATGCGAGCACAAGTCAGCTTCCAGGTGCCTACGCGGACGCCTACGCGGGCAGATGTTCAGTTCAAGTGTTGACGTGCAGTTTGGCAGCGGAAAATCGCAAGTTTTCAGTACAAGAGCAGTTTTGGCAGCTACAGCTCTAAGATCACCTTTGCAATACAATTGAGAACCCACATCTGTTGAAGGATCTGGCTACTAGAAAAGGTCCACGTACTCTAAAATACCTTGAAAGCTTACGCGAATGCCTACGCGGGGCCTGCGCGGAGCCTACGCGAAAACTGCAGAACAAACGGAAGGAAGGCAAAAAGGGGAAGTTACATTGAGCCATGATTTGTTCAAACGCCTACGCGAAAAGCCTACGCGAGGGTTGACACAACTGCTTACGCGCAGAAGCCTACGCGAGCCTACGCCCCAACCAGGATTGCCTCCGCAAAGTACATGCAGTTCCCTTTTTGTATAGACCCTTTCATTTGATTAAAAACCGCTGCTCATATGATCCTCATGATCCCCTTAAGCTTACTTGCCAAAGGCAGGGAGTCTGACAAAAAGGATCAAACATCCACAGCTTGAAAGGCTTTCTGAGATACTGGGATGTCCGCCGTCATGACTGCTACATCACTTAAAGTTTCTTTGGTATCCCAAATGGTGACATCCCAGGTGCTGGGTGGGATGCCGAAATGCGAGGCCTCGGGGGACCAGGGCTTCAGCTCCTCGTCAAGGACCAGCTGCCTCGCAAACCCCCCAGGATTGTCCAGGATTGCTGCTCATTTTTGCCAATGGGAAGAAACATGCGCAATTGCTTTCAAGCGTGGGGAGTTGTGAACTTTGCGCTGGGCAAGCCATGAGTACCCAAAAGGGTCTGAAGCAGTCAAGCCGAAGGCGAAAGCACACGCACGTGCAAGGGTGGTGCAACACACTTTTCTGCCACTCGATTCTGTAGTCCTATCAGCTTCCTTGCATCATATTCCTGGCACAGGGTGAGTCCTTGTGTCCCTGATGCTTCAAAAGCTCTGCAAATGTTCTGCTTTGAAAAGGCTAGCTGGAGCAGTTGTCGCAGCTGTTGTTCTGGCAATTGCCCTCTTGGTTTAAAAAAATAAGTCTCCAGCGAACTGCTCCGAGCACGGCCTCAGGAATCTCTGCGAAACAGCATGCTTTGCTGGAAGGCGCTATAGGCCGCAATCGGCCCAGCTGTGATAACACAAGCTGCGTGAATTATCCTATGCAAGTGGGTGTCAGAAATGCCTTTCAACTGTCCATCGGAAACAATGAGCCCCTGACACCCATAACTGCGAGCAACACCTCTGCGCTCTGACTTTCAAGAGGAAACAGAGTTGCTCGCTCTAAAACCGCCTTAATCAGCGCTGCGCATCAAAGCGGAATGCAAAAGCAAGATTCCATCACGGAACTCTACCTCCGAACCACCTGAGCTGACTACTCAAAGAAGGTGGCCAAATTCATGTTTGTTTCTCATGACAAATATGTGTTAGGAGGTAGGGAAATGATACCTTCTTTACAGTCGTTTGGATTTGTTCATGCAACATGCACTAAGATGACACCCGACATGCCTTGTGGCTTCAGGGTCGGTGTGCCCAAAAGCAGCTATCCGTGGCAATTACCGCGCTCACTGCAACTTTGCATTTTCTGCCAGCTGAATGATCTGGTAGTCAAACCATTGACCCGCTTCTGGGGCGCGTGGCTCGCCTGCACGGCTGCCGATGCTATCAGAGGAAGAGCAATCAGAGTCGAAGCGGGGGCAAGTAGCGCCATCTGGCAACACCTCTGTGCAGCCGTCGGACTCACCGGGGGTCTTCAGCCAGAAGTAAGCATCAACCACATCTGGCTTGGCGGTGTCGGTTGTGGCAACATGGCCCACTCCGGCAGCACGGATGTTGCACCAGTTCTTGCACTGGGACCTCATCCCTGCAGCTCCGTTTCGGCCCGTGTCAATGATCATGTGAGGCACGAATCCGTTGATTCCTTCAGACATCGCCTTTCGCAAGTGCAGGGCGTAGTTCAGCTCATTGTGGGAGGGGTTCCACTCACTGGTAAGGCCGCAAGGGTCATAGCAGCACGGGTGATCCTGATGGTTGCCGCTGGATGGCAGGCAGAAGTCGTAGTACTCACAAACCTCGCCCACATGCTGGTAGCCGGCCACGTTGGACGCAAAGCCGCGGATGTAGTCGGATACCTGCAGGCGCCTGATGGTCTGCACAAAGTCCTTCATGTTGTCCTTCCAGCCCAACCAGCCACCGTGGCCCGCGTCCAAGTAGATGGCTGCATACGGGTCGGCCGCTGCCAATGCTGCGACGGCATAGCTCACACCTTTTTCATAAGCGCTCTTGGTGGCTTGGTTGCCGCACCTTGGATCGGCTTGATTGGTGGAGAGGTTTGGCAGGGAGTCGGGCTCGATGACCAGCACAATGGGAACACGGCCCGAGAACTTCTTCAGCACCTCCGCAATCTTGTCAATGTACTCCTCCATGTACTCCTTCAAGCCAGCGTCGCAGAACCTGTCGGAACGATCGTCTGTGTAGTCACAGCGGCCATCGGGCTTGTAGCTGCAGCAGATCTCGCCGTTGGATGCCTTGGCGTGGCAGTCCCTGTTTGGCAGGTCGTACACGATGAAGACCACGAGCTCGGGCACAGGCTTGCTGGCAGCATCTGCGAGGATGCCCTCCATGGTGTTCGTGGTGCTTCCGAAAATCTTGCCCTTGTTGTCCAGCCAGTAGGCTGAAGGAATATCCATCATTGCTTGAAGCGTGGACAGCACGTCCCCGCTGGCAGTTGCAATGCTGGTGCTCAAAGACGACTGGTAGGAGGGGTTCACATAGAACGCCTTGTCCTTGAATGGATTGCCTGTGGGAACCGGCATTGTCGGAGTGGTGCTGGCTGCTTCGGTGGTGGTGGCACCTGCTGTGGTGGATGCTGCCTCTGTCGTAGATGCCGGCTCTGTGCTCGGCAAAGCCACTCCCAGGTTTGCATTTTCTGCCAGCTGCTTGATCTGGTAGTCAAACCATTGACCCGCTTCTGGGGCGCGTGGCTCGCCTGCACGGCTGCCGATGCTATCAGAGGAAGAGCAATCAGAGTCGAAGCGGGGGCAAGTAGCGCCATCTGGCAACACCTCTGTGCAGCCGTCGGACTCACCGGGGGTCTTCAGCCAGAAGTAAGCATCAACCACATCTGGCTTGGCGGTGTCGGTTGTGGCAACATGGCCCACTCCGGCAGCACGGATGTTGCACCAGTTCTTGCACTGGGACCTCATCCCTGCAGCTCCGTTTCGGCCCGTGTCAATGATCATGTGAGGCACGAATCCGTTGATTCCTTCAGACATCGCCTTTCGCAAGTGCAGGGCGTAGTTCAGCTCATTGTGGGAGGGGTTCCACTCACTGGTGAGGCCGCAAGGGTCATAGCAGCACGGGTGATCCTGATGGTTGCCGCTGGATGGCAGGCAGAAGTCGTAGTACTCACAAACCTCGCCCACATGCTGGTAGCCGGCCACGTTGGACGCAAAGCCGCGGATGTAGTCGGATACCTGCAGGCGCCTGATGGTCTGCACAAAGTCCTTCATGTTGTCCTTCCAGCCCAACCAGCCACCGTGGCCCGCGTCCAAGTAGATGGCTGCATACGGGTCGGCCGCTGCCAACGCTGTGACGGCATAGCTCACACCTTTTTCATAAGCGCTCTTGGTGGCTTGGTTGCCGCACCTTGGATCGGCTTGATTGGTGGAGAGGTTTGGCAGGGAGTCGGGCTCGATGACCAGCACAATGGGAACACGGCCCGAGAACTTCTTCAGCACCTCCGCAATCTTGTCAATGTACTCCTCCATGTACTCCTTCAAGCCAGCGTCGCAGAACCTGTCGGAACGATCGTCTGTGTAGTCACAGCGGCCATCGGGCTTGTAGCTGCAGCAGATCTCGCCGTTGGATGCCTTGGCGTGGCAGTCCCTGTTTGGCAGGTCGTACACGATGAAGACCACGAGCTCGGGCACAGGCTTGCTGGCAGCATCTGCGAGGATGCCCTCCATGGTGTCCGTGGTGCTTCCGAAAATCTTGCCCTTGTTGTCCAGCCAGTAGGCCGAAGGCATATCCATCATTGCTTGAAGGGTGGACAGCACATCCCCGCTGGCAGTTGCAATGCTGGTGCTCAAAGACGACTGGTAGGAGGGGTTCACATAGAACGCCTTGTCCTTGAATGGATTGCCTGTGGGAACCGGCATTGTCGGAGTGGTGCTGGCTGCTTCGGTGGTGGTGGCACCTGCTGTGGTGGATGCTGCCTCTGTCGTAGATGCCGGCTCTGTGCTCGGCAAAGCCACTCCCAGGTTTGCATTTTCTGCCAGCTGCTTGATCTGGTAGTCAAACCATTGACCCGCTTCTGGGGCGCGTGGCTCGCCTGCACGGCTGCCGATGCTATCAGAGGAAGAGCAATCAGAGTCGAAGCGGGGGCAAGTAGCGCCATCTGGCAACACCTCTGTGCAGCCGTCGGACTCACCGGGGGTCTTCAGCCAGAAGTAAGCATCAACCACATCTGGCTTGGCGGTGTCGGTTGTGGCAACATGGCCCACTCCGGCAGCACGGATGTTGCACCAGTTCTTGCACTGGGACCTCATCCCTGCAGCTCCGTTTCGGCCCGTGTCAATGATCATGTGAGGCACGAATCCGTTGATTCCTTCAGACATCGCCTTTCGCAAGTGCAGGGCGTAGTTCAGCTCATTGTGGGAGGGGTTCCACTCACTGGTGAGGCCGCAAGGGTCATAGCAGCACGGGTGATCCTGATGGTTGCCGCTGGATGGCAGGCAGAAGTCGTAGTACTCACAAACCTCGCCCACATGCTGGTAGCCGGCCACGTTGGACGCAAAGCCGCGGATGTAGTCGGATACCTGCAGGCGCCTGATGGTCTGCACAAAGTCCTTCATGTTGTCCTTCCAGCCCAACCAGCCACCGTGGCCCGCGTCCAAGTAGATGGCTGCATACGGGTCGGCCGCTGCCAACGCTGTGACGGCATAGCTCACACCTTTTTCATAAGCGCTCTTGGTAGCTTGGTTGCCGCACCTTGGATCGGCTTGATTGGTGGAGAGGTTTGGCAGGGAGTCGGGCTCGATGACCAGCACAATGGGAACACGGCCCGAGAACTTCTTCAGCACCTCCGCAATCTTGTCAATGTACTCCTCCATGTACTCCTTCAAGCCAGCGTCGCAGAACCTGTCGGAACGATCGTCTGTGTAGTCACAGCGGCCATCGGGCTTGTAGCTGCAGCAGATCTCGCCGTTGGATGCCTTGGCGTGGCAGTCCCTGTTTGGCAGGTCGTACACGATGAAGACCACGAGCTCGGGCACAGGCTTGCTGGCAGCATCTGCGAGGATGCCCTCCATGGTGTCCGTGGTGCTTCCGAAAATCTTGCCCTTGTTGTCCAGCCAGTAGGCCGAAGGCATATCCATCATTGCTTGAAGGGTGGACAGCACATCCCCGCTGGCAGTTGCAATGCTGGTGCTCAAAGACGACTGGTAGGAGGGGTTCACATAGAACGCCTTGTCCTTGAATGGATTGCCTGTGGGAACCGGCATTGTCGGAGTCGTGCTTGCTGCTTCGGTGGTGGTGGCACCTGCTGTGGTGGATGCTGCCTCTGTCGTAGATGCTGGCTCTGTGCTAGTCACAGCCACTCCCAAGTTTGCATTTTCTGCCAGCTGCTTGATCTGGTAGTCAAACCATTGACCCGCTTCTGGGGCGCGTGGCTCTCCTGCACGGCTGCCGATGCTATCAGAGGAAGAGCAATCAGAGTCGAAGCGGGGGCAAGTAGCGCCATCTGGCAACACCTCTGTGCAGCCGTCGGACTCACCGGGGGTCTTCAGCCAAAAGTAAGCATCAACCACATCTGGCTTGGCGGTGGCGGTTGTGGCAACATTGCCCACTCCGGCATCACGGATGTTGCACCAGTTCTTGCACTGGGACCTCATCCCTGCGGCTCCGTTTCGGCCCGTGTCAATGATCATGTGAGGCACGAATCCGTTGATTCCTTCAGACATCGCCTTTCGCAAGTGCAGGGCGTAGTTCAGCTCATTGTGGGAGGGGTTCCACTCACTGGTAAGGCCGCAAGGGTCATAGCAGCACGGGTGATCCTGATGGTTGCCGCTGGATGGCAGGCAGAAGTCGTAGTACTCACAAACCTCGCCCACATGCTGGTAGCCGGCCACGTTGGACGCAAAGCCGCGGATGTAGTCGGATACCTGCAGGCGCCTGATGGTCTGCACAAAGTCCTTCATGTTGTCCTTCCAGCCCAACCAGCCACCGTGGCCCGCGTCCAAGTAGATGGCTGCATACGGGTCGGCCGCTGCCAATGCTGCGACGGCATAGCTCACACCTTTTTCATAAGCGCTCTTGGTGGCTTGGTTGCCGCACCTTGGATCGGCTTGATTGGTGGAGAGGTTTGGCAGGGAGTCGGGCTCGATGACCAGCACAATGGGAACACGGCCCGAGAACTTCTTCAGCACCTCCGCAATCTTGTCAATGTACTCCTCCATGTACTCCTTCAAGCCAGCGTCGCAGAACCTGTCGGAACGATCGTCTGTGTAGTCACAGCGGCCATCGGGCTTGTAGCTGCAGCAGATCTCGCCGTTGGATGCCTTGGCGTGGCAGTCCCTGTTTGGCAGGTCGTACACGATGAAGACCACGAGCTCGGGCACAGGCTTGCTGGCAGCATCTGCGAGGATGCCCTCCATGGTGTCCGTGGTGCTTCCAGAAATCTTTCCTTGGCTCATGTTTTCAACTGCGCTGCACAATCTGAACGTCTTTCTTTTGGTTGCCAGGGAACAGCAGGGAACAGCACACAAGGAAGCCAATCATTTCAGGGGTCGTAAGCCGTGACTTCGACATTTAGAGCTCATGTAAGCGTCACAGCACGTGCCTCATAAGACTGACCCACATCCCCCAACCACCCCCTGCAATCTCATCGCAGCGGCCCTTGTTGTCCAGCCAGTACGCAGATGGCACATCCCGCATCGACGCCAAGGTGGCCTTGACATCGCCGCTGGCGGTGTCAATGCTGCTCTGCAGCGATGTCCTGGCTGGCTTAACCCAAATGAGGGCTTTACTTGAATGCTAGGGTTTGTTTGAATAGCACAACTTTGGACCAACAACAAATGATGGGTTGAATAAAAAGTGCAGCACCGCAGCAAATAAAGAATAGGACGCTGCACTGCAGTTTCGCTGGCCTAGGCTCTGTGCCCCTCCCCATCTTCTCTCTTTCCACTTGCCTTCCGTGAAACATCACATCACTTGCCAGGGACTAGCTTGCTTTGCAACTAGCTGCCGATCACATTGACATGCCAAACGGACATGAGCCAACAATCGTGGCAACTGCATGCGCAAGCGTTTGGCGGTCCGATCCCCGATGCAAACCAAACCAAAGTGATGTTCTCTTCAAATTAGCCATCACCCCAATGACTGCGGCCCTGCGTCCACCCCCACGGTGGGAATAGGCGTGCGACTCACTTATCCTGCTTTCGATTGTGAATGAACATTTGCTTGATGATTGCTAGTGAGATTGTTGAGCCGATGTATATCCTTTCCGTGAGGCAAGCAATCGTTTGCCCCTAAGGTACCTTGGCTGCCCCTTAATATGCCCTGTGGCTTTGTAGGTTTGATGTGGCTGTGGCTCCAAACATGTTTAGTTTCGTTGTTCAACTAGATGTATGTGTTCCCTCCAAACAAATCTGAGCTAGACGGGTCCTCCCAACAACCACAAACCGAAACGGTTCCGTGGCCGCCCCTTCCCGGCCAGGTCCTATAGCTGGGGTTCACGTAGAAGCTCTGGCCCTCGAACGGGTTCTGCTGAACCGTCAGCCGTCGTGGAGCCCCTCCTCCAGTTTTCCCCCATCCACTTGCCCGCCATGCCAGAGTTGGGCAAACCTCCTGTTTAAACATGTTCAATGACCTGTTACACCCCCTTTCGTTCCCTTTCAAAGGGGGCCAGGGCCTGGCTGCATGTTGCGCAGGCTTCCCTGGCCTATGGGATCCTGCGTCAATACCAGAAGCGTGAACACCTCAAATGAACATCTGCGGCGTCGCAGCTTGAGAAAGATTGAAACAGCTATCAGCCGCGACATAATCTGCAAAGGTTCTGCCACATCTTCACTCTGCCTTCTGTTTTCTACATGGTCCGCTTAAAATGGATGCAGCACAACCAGCGCCCTGAATATGAGAGGCCGAGGGAGTGCGCTTTTGACCCTTGAGCCTGTCAAGCAAGAAATGCTCGGCTCTACTGGGTAAACTTGCCAGACTTCACTGTTGTGCTGACAGGCGAAACCAGATCTGTTGCTGGTACCCGGAAACAAAGATGGCACTGGTCGAAACAGTGGCAATGTTCAATCATATTGATCTAACACTGAAGCTGCAAGCCCATCCTTCCATCACATCGAGGTCAACAACGTTGCTCACCAAGCCGGCGACCACCAAGCTGAGGAGAGCAGCGAGGCCGCCCAACACTGCCCTCAGTAGCATGCTACATCATCAAACTCGACATGTTGAATTTGTCGACACCTTGCTTCACTTCTAGCTTTGGTGCTTGGATGTTTTTTCGGATTCTCAGGTCGCGGCCCCACCCGTACCCAGGCGCTTCGCGCAGGTCTAATTGTGTCCTGCGACAAATGGAAGCTGGGCGGAGCACCATGGGTATCTATTTTGCTTTGGACTTCCTTCGGAAGGGCAATGAAGGAAGTGAACATGCTCAAAGGAAGCTCTCAACCAAATGTTGAACGATCAGACTGCTTGGATTAGACGCTGCACATCCACTGCCGTTTCCTTTGAAGGCAGGAAGCATGGGCGCGTGGACCGTTACCATCTCTGAGGCTTGGTCGAATTGTGCCTTCCTGCTTGCTTTCAACAACATCAGGGGGCCTCAACCCTGCAAGAAACCAAGTTCAAGCACCAAGGCTTTCCTTATGCACACAGTAAACGGAAAACAATTAGAGACGCCATGAGTTCCCGGTCCTCCATACCAACCCGGATGTGCACCTGGTCAGAGTTTTGACTGCGTCGGTCAGGTGGCTTGGCGAGCCCTGGGACTTGCCAATGTATTGGCAGACCTGTGTTGTCCTTTTTTGCCTTTGGACCTGCCAAGGTGGCTGTCTGCAAACTCCGGGCTGCAAAGTCGGGGTCTACTCCCTGATGTCTTAACTAAAACATGATTTGCAAGAACGCCTTGTAGAGATCTTGCTGGAAACAAATTCGAGCTCTCTTCTTCTTTCTTCCTTCCTCTATGCTTCTGTCTCCCTTGATTTGGTTTTCATTATTCATTTTCTCTCTTTCGATCTCTTGTCTTCTCTTTTCTTTCTCTATCTCTCTCCGTGGCAAACTCCGGTGCCAATGGTGCCAACAACTGGCAACATCGCTGGGTGAAAAGAGTGGGATACCAACCCTTGCGCGATGCTTTATCCAGTCACCGAGCGTTACCCAGGGGAAACAGAGTTCACTACCTTTGTTTGAACATCACCCAAACAAACAAAGAAATAGTTGGTGATGATCGCACTACAACAAGCGGTGCTTCCACCTGAACACCCCCCAGTTTCCTTGCGGCCGAGTGAAAATGCTATGGTTGGACCGCATCGGCCTCATCGCTACCCGTGTGGTGCTCTTGGTCCTCGTGGGAGGGCGGCATTGCGAACCCTCCTTGGATCGCCAGGACCTTGGCCAAAATTCACTCCTGGATCTTTCAGAGCCAACGGCTGCGGATGTTGTCCTCCAGACTGAAGACGGCCGACATCACGGGTGCGAAAAAGACAGCAACCTACACCTTGGATGTCCATCGAGCTTCTGCTTGTCCATGTGCCGCTCTTAGGACTCAAATCATGCTAATGACTCTTGCGCCCAAGACTCTTGCAACACATGAACAAACAAGGTCCGCCGGCCCGGCAAAACAAAGGGTTGAAGTTTTGATTGCGCATGTTGCGAGGGAACGATAGGATTCAATGCACGTGCACCGATGGCCCTTCAATTTCAACCGCCATGAAATCATTTTCAACACGGTGGCCTCCAGTGGTTGGGATGGCCAAAGACATCCAAAGACAAGAGTCCAATGATGTCCAATGGACACAGCCACTTGCCCACCTCGCAGCTGCCGAGTTGCAAGCTGCAGCAGGGCCCAGAGGCACGGCCCAGAGAACGACCGCTACTGAGAACCTGCAAAAAGGCAAGCCTTTGTCAAGAGATGTTTGCTGCTGCTTGCTTGAAGGAATAGGTTGCAAGTGCAAACTGGCGAGAACGCGCATGCCCATTTCACGCTTCTGACTGGCCTTGGATTCCAGTCCTGTTCCTGCCCGATCTGATCTTGGAATTTGAACATTCACTTGCCGAGCTTCATTCTAGCTCCCCAAGCTCAAGCAAAATGCGACTTCCAGGGCTTCTGCACGAAAGCTCATAAACAAAAACGAGAGATTGTGACACTTTGTTTGGATATAACCACTAGCTTGGCCTGTGCCCGACTCCCACACCAAGATCAAGAACTGCTCCTTAGATGTGGTGGACCATTTCCCTAAACGAAGACTGGACAGACTTTGAGGGCTACAGCTAGAATTGGAACGTGTCCTTGGTGGGCTTGGGTGAGGAAATGGACGCAGAATCAATTTCTTCCCGCCGCCTCCACAACCATCTGCTCGCCGCACGAGGAGGAAATGCTCACCTGCATGCGGGGATGCCTTCCATAAGCCATGTCAACCTTTTTTGTCAACCGAGCCCCGTCATCTGTTTGCATCTTGTGTCAGGCCAGCTAGACATGCAACATCTGAACTCGCTGCCAAGAGGCTTCCACCAGGCTCGGCGCTGGGACCTCGGGGCTGGCAAACTGTTCCTCTCTCTGCGACTTGAAGTTGCTTGCTTGTAAGTCTCGGCAGGTCTTTGACTGAACATTCAGAACATGACTATCTTCCCATGCACATGCCCATGCACTTCTTTTGTTAACACTCCACATTGCTTCAGGCTGCAAAGCCCCCCTGTCCAACATCGCCGGGATGCGTCGAAGCTCAGCTCGGCGATGTGGCACAAAGGCAGCTTCTCAATCCACAATCCCTGGCGCCACAGCCCTGTCACAGCAGTGTACCTGGCCCAAAGCTCAACTCACGTGGCTGCCATGAACTGCCACAAAGGCGTCCGACGGGTTCTCGAGGCAGATTCAACAGTTTGTACCCTCGGGAGAAAGAAGAGCGATCCACACATACTGAAAAAGTATGTGAACACGCAACATCTGGTTGACTCACAAGCGGCCAACGATTCATTTCTTTGCGATTTAATCTTGCCATTGTTTGACGCGGGAGGCCGACAAAAAGCTCCGTGCAGCTAAGGTACATGATGGACCCAGGCTTTAACGCTTGCTTACCGCGAGGCTGCCAGCCGGTCTCACAGCATGCTTCGCCTCAAAGCACCGTCCAGCAGCTGACTTGGCGTGAGCCAACCCCAGCTGGCCTTGCTAAACCTCCTACCTTTCTTAACATCGCGTCTGCCCGTTCTCCAAGCTTAGAACCTGCTGCAACAAATGAATGCAATCTTGGACGCAGATGGAGGATGGGCGTCTAGAGCCAATCGCGACAAAAATCACTCACTTGCTCGCTCGCTCGCTCGCTCGCTCGCTCACTCACCCACGCACTCACAAACATTAAGCCGGACCAAAACAACCCTGTGAGACTGCACGGTCACAGGGTCTTGCCACATCTGCAGCATCGAACCTTGAAACTGGTCAGGCAAAGCTTTGGGGCGGGCGCGACCTTGTTACACGCTGGCGGAGGAGGCCCCCTTTCGCGCCGCCAAATGCGATGGGGTGGATGCGCTGGCAGCGGCCCGCGGCCCGCGGCTTGCGGCTTGCTGCCCCTGTCTTAGTACCCCTGCAAGGGATTGCGGGGGGAAGAGCTTGCTGGCGGCTGCCGCTGTCTGATGACATCATGCTGTCTTGCCCCTATGCTCTTCGCAGTGGATGCGGGTGGCGGGCATGACTAGGATGGCGGCAAATGCCTGGGTGCAACAGTTTCCTTGCCTGCGTGGGCTGGCCCTGGCCATGAGGGGCTACGTAGCCCCGAGCTGGGTCCCGCTCCTGAAGCCCTGCAGAGCTCCCTGTGGGAGGCTGAGCGGCGCGAGGCCGAGGCGGAGGGCATCCCGGCCGTACACATCCATCCATCCATCTTTGTGTGCAATCAAATCAGCAAAGCCTACCTGGTTTTTGAAAGCGCCAACTACTAAGTTTAGGGAAGAACAAATTAGGCAGACCAAACCAACCTAACCAGCCCCTAAAGCCTGAACATGCCTGAACCAACCTGAAACCCAACCCCACGGGATGCTTGCGATCTGCCATCCCAACCTATCGCAATTGCGCGCACCTCTGCCCAAGTCTCGGTTTTGATCATCCGGGTGGCAGGGCACCGGTGGGTGGTCCGTAAAGGCGCAACCCTCATCCGTGGGGTCCCAGGCCCGGACCATCAGCCAAGTCCTCTGCCCGCAAACCGCAGCCGGCAGGTCCAGGCGGAAGGGGTCGTAGCCGCCCCGGTGGACGCCCAAAGATACAGAGCCCAGGTAGAAAGCCTCCGGGGCGCAGAGCCAGGCTAAGTTTGGGCAAAACCTGCTCCCAACTTGAGCTTCTGAATCGTGCAACCATCCTTGGCGTACTGGAAAGAGAATGACATGGGAGAGGAAGACTCTGCAAGCGAATGCGGCCGAAGGTGCGCATTCCCAGTCGCAGGCATCCACGTGCAGCTGGAGAAGCCCGCCCGTGCACCAGGCAGCATCCAGCAGAAGCTCTCGCCGGTACCACACCGCTTCCACTGCCGAGATCTTAGTGGCGAGGCCTCACCAGAGCTCCGAACCCTCCCTGCTTCAAATCAGATATCGTTTTGCTTCAGGCTCGCCTCTCAAGCCAGCCTCATGAGGACTTCTTTGCTGGAAAGCGGAGGGGCACACGAGCAGACTTGAGGCAACTATGGCCTTGCAAGAACAGAACACATGCCGTGCAAGATCCGTGGAAGCACCTGCCCTGCAAAGACATCCGCCGCAGAAATGAACAATCATGTTACTTTTGGGTGGTTCCACTTATATAGGAGGCGTGGTAGAAGTCACGATCAGCAATGACATGACAGTCAGTGAATGACCAACGGATGTACCTGCGCCAAAAGCTGCTGGGCCACACCCTTGCCCCTCCCGCGCCTCTGTGAGACTGCGGCGCAAAAGGCACCTCCATGGCCTGCCAGGCCTCTTCCTGCAGCTGCCCTGGCGTGGCCTCATTGACTTTGCAGCCGGATTTGTCCGCGCAGCGCAAGTTGCTACGTAGTGGGCATGCGGCTAGCTGGGACTAAGTATCACACCTGCCCGCGTCAACAACGCGAGGGAGATCATGCCTGGTTCTGCAGCGGAGGCTCGCGGAGGGAGGGAATTGCGAACGCAAAGTCCAATCATGCAGCTCATTCATATTCATACGCTTCCGCTCGCGGTAAATCTGAGATGCTTCTCCCTGCAAATGGGCATTCAAACGCGGAAAGTGCAACAAGCAACAAACTGTGCAAACACCAGTTCAATGGGAGAGGTAAACTAGTAGGGATGCGGAGAGGATTGGGGCAAAGCCTGAAATCCTCCAATGAAGCCGAATAAAGCAGGGCAATAGCAAATGTTCTTGAAGAGAAAAATGTCCAACTTTTCATCTTCTGATCTGCTCCTCCCAAATTCCCAGCACTTGTTGCTGATTCAAGGCGCCGAGTCGAGCGTCACCTGGACCTGCCAAGGGCCATTCAGGCTGTGGCGCTGTGAAGCTGGCCGCAGGCCTCGTGGCTCCTCAAACTCCTCGGGGCTCCAAAAGGGGAGGCGATTCGAAACAAAAGGCGCCGACTGGCAATTCCATCTTGAAACTCTGGGCATCTTATGCCCCGTGATCCTAAAAACATGTACGGGGGCTGAAGCTGCACATTGCAGCACTTGGCAAAACACACTGGACTATAAAATGTTGCAACCGTTGCTTGACTGATGTGGCATCTGCCTCCAGCAGTCAACATCGAAACGCCCAGCTGAAAATGGCCTAAACCCAGCTTGTTGTGCCTTGTCCATTCCAAAAAGAATGGCGCACTATGAGCTATGGAATGCAATGGACAAACGGACGAATCGCGGTGATTTGAACGCCACGCATGAACCCGAATCTGAAACTTTGAATAGCGCCTCTAATCCATCGCGGGCGTGAGTTTGGAACAATTGTGGGGTGAGTTCTTCAGCCAATCAAACTGGTGCGTCTTTTTTTTGGAGAGTGCGTTGGCTTACCTGAAAAACCAGAAGGACACTCTTCCTTTTCGGGGGGAGGGGGGCCCGGTTGCGAAACAAGCCTGAATCCTTGTGTAAGTGGGTTCGCTTTGTTCCCCTCAGCACATTTTCGAGCTACCCTCAAAAGATCTCAAAAGGAGCTGAAACTGGGAATCTCTTGAGACAAGCCATGAGACGCCATGGGACGCCATGGGATGCCATGAGATGAGGCCAAAGCCCGGCTCCTCGGCTTTCGGGGTCTGCAGTGGTGGCCCTGGCCGCGGGCCAGGCGTTGCCGTGAGCGCCAAGGGCCCTGCATCCAAGGCCTGCGGCCGAAACGCCATGGCCCACGTCCTCCAGCCAGCAAATCTGGGCATTCTTCGGATAGACCATGTGATACAGCCTCCCCCGCCCCACCAGCTCTGGCGTTCTTTTGCTAGGAGAAGCAACTTCACCTAAAGTGAAAGCAGTTCAGGGGGCGAGGTGCTCTGATGTTGCACCGGCCTGCACCCCGAATCGGCAGGTAACCTGGAGGGAGATCAACGCCCCCAAGCCAGGTGGGAGGCCTACGAGCAGGAACAAGTCCACGTTGGCAAGCCTTGGAACTTGGACAGCTTCCACTTCTATTGGTTGTTCAACCGATTTCGACATGCGCCTGAAACAGCAAACGAACTATGCCACGGAATCAATCATCCATGGCTAAGCGAACCGCCGATGAGACACGCCACTGCACAGAGCAAAAGCTGGATTTTCCAGCTGCCAAGTGCCGAAACAACCCGGAAGGCTTCCATCTTCGGCATGCAGGTTGGCCCGACATGGCCAACTTGTTTTTCCCAACCTTCCCGTGACAAAGCAAAGCAGCAGTCCGGCAAGGTCTTCAAGGAAGTCGTCAGAGCGTTGAAACAGTGTGGATGTATCTACCTTAGCGGCACGCCACATTCCCTGCCAACTCTTGTCAAGCCTTGGGATTCACAAGCTTGACTCTACCACTGCGACCACCTGATCTCCCAGATTAACTCAGCAATCGTCCTGCCTTATGGTGGTGGTGGTGGTACTGGTGTTGCTGGTGCTGGTGGTGGTTCCCAGGATTCTGAGCGGACGTATCTTCAAGGGAGGCAACTTGCTCCAGCACGAATATCTGATCTCTGACCTCCTATTCTTTCAAGTGCACAGTTCTGCAAGGAACTGCCTTTAAAGATGTTCAGCTGTTAGATGCGTGTCGTTGGGAAAGGACCATGCCATGAATTGTCCAAGAAACGGCTCGACTACTTCTATTAAGCACTTCAAGCACTTCAACAATTTCGGACACGGGCCCCTGGTTCGAGAATGCTCTGACATGAGCATGAATCTGAGTTCATCCGGAGCCAGTTTGCCGCCTTATCCTGGCAGGGTTCGCGTTTCAGAAGGCCTCTGTAATAGGATTGTCCAAGCCGCGTGCCTTCGGTCAGGTTCCACGTTAGGGTATTCCCAAAACGGAACCTTGGGCTGTTGGGTTTCCGCCTTGGGTTCATGAAGCTCCTCCCTTCGCCCCCGTCATGCTGAGGCGCCCGCCCCCGCAGCCGACACCTGCGCGGCAAAGCGCAGGGCTTGGGCCAGCTGCTGGTTGGGCGTGGCACCCAGCAGCAGCACCTCAGCTGATCGCCAAATTCCATTCTCCACATCTTTAGCTAGACAGCTTCCAGATTGCAAATGTCTGACGCCCCTTTCCCTGTTAAACAGCACCTAGGCTCACCTAGATGTCCTTGTGCAGAAATGGATGGCGCTGATCAATGCAAAGAAGCTGGAGTTCTTCCGCCAAATGGACTGATAGGACACGTCATCAGGAAGCTCCAAAAAGCAAGGATATGCCTAAGACGAGTGAGGGGAAAAATGATGTACATACAGCAAATCCAGGGCATGCCCGAGGCTGGTGCAACCTCCACTCAACCCCACTGATGTTTGCCTTTGACCAATGAAGCCATTTGACATGCAATGGGGATCGCCTCCTTGGGCACCAATAAAACCACCATCCAGCCACAGTTCCAGGCTTGGTTGATCCACCTTTTTTATTGAACAAACAAAACAACATGTTTTCTTTTAAACACACATGACATGACGTTCCGCCGGTCAAACATAATCATGAGCAAGGTTGGCGTGCAAAAATAAATACCGCAGCCCTAGGCTCCACATCCCAAATCAACACATGATTCAAGGATAAGCAAGCTTATCCTTCCCGCCCCTTTCAGCCTCAGAAAGCGAGCCTTGAGCTTAGTCGACCTTTTGGAAGAATATGTTCGTCCCGCTGGCTAAACGATTGAGCAAAACTATCCAGTGGAACAATCCATTTGACCCAAACTAAAAGGAAACTCAGATGATGACATAGCTCTGGGCAAGGCGCCCTCTTCCCGTAGACCACCTCCCGGGCGAAGTGCTCCTGGATCTCCAGGGGCGACACCTGGAGATCGTCCCAGGGCCGCCGGTCCAATGCCCAGGCCTCAATGACAGGACCTGGGGTTCACTAAAAGGGAATTCAGCCAACAAAAACGAAGAAACACCAACCTGGGGGTGCAACACAACCGTGTCATCCAGAACCTACTGGTCTGCTGGTCAATGATGGTGTGGCTGCTTATTCAATTTCAGAAACCATGTAGGCTCTAGGCTCAGTCTGACCCCATCTCCTTTGATTGTGGTAATTGTTTACTTGTTTGCTTTCTGCAACATTAGGGACAAGGTGCGTGGCAGTACTTGCCAGGGGGAAGCCTCTGCCGCATGTGCTCAGCGCCGTCTTGCGCCAACTCCCTGGCTTCGCCTGGCGCTAGGTCCGGGCTTGAGATATGAACGCACTTAAGCATGCATTCGTGGGTCCGTGAAACATGAATGCCTGAATGCACACAGACAGGGCTTGGCAAGGGAATGAGTGGCGAACACCAAAGTGACTGCCCTGCCTGGCCGCAAGCTGGCGATGGCCTCTTTAGAGGGGTCAAGAGCCGCCACGCAAACCCCACAGCGCTCGGGGTAGCCACCTGGTGCAACACATAAAGGGAGTGCTGTCAAAAGTGGCGAGTCTGCCCAGAACCTCACCCAAAATGCGAGACAACATCCAGAAAACGACCCATCTGCTCACCTCAAGAAGGCATTTACCCGCCTAGGTGAGCTAAAGTTGCAAGCAGCCGCGCGCGGATCTTTGGCTCCATGACGGCCTGGCTAAGAGATGAGGATCCGTACGTCCATGCTTCTCTAGCTGGAATTTGAAGCTGCACTTTTTGCGGTCGAACGTTACCCAAATAGCGAGCCATAGGGGTGCCCACCTCTTCGGCCGGAGTGGGCAACCGCGCGAAGGAGGCCCCGCGGGCAAGCAGCATGAAGCTTGTGGACCTCACCCAACTCATCAAACCAAAGTGTGGTGCCGATTGCAAACATTTTGCCTGCATCATTGTGCCTGAAAACAACTGCATACTTTGAGCACCCGGCACATCATAGAAATTATGACTTTGCTGCGCTCCTGCAGGAAAGCCATGTTTGCCACCCAAGACCCACCTGCGAGACTTGTGGCTCTTCGTGGCAAAGCTCCTTCACGGTCCCACTGCGAGAGGCGCAAGTAAAGCTGCGACAAAGCCTCCGGCTTGCCGGATTGCTAGGGTGGATGACTCAAACCTATGACCTTCGGAGCAACTTCTGCCAGCAATTTTGCCTTCACTTGAATGATGGATCACCTTCCTGCTGCACAGGTCAAACCATGAGGCTCAAGTGTCAAAACGAATGCAAGCACACTTTGCGCCCAGTAGTGCACTCACCAGACACGGCCTCATCCCTACGCCATCGCTGATCACAAGCAGCCAGGTCCAGGCTGACCTGAGAGGCGAGCAGAATAGCCCGAAACTACGGAACGCCTTGGTGACTTCACAGAATGGTACTCTCTTTCCAACAGTCATAGCGGGCCCTTTCAAGCTTCCAAAACCTGTTGGAATGAGGCTCGTATAAATCGGCACACCTGACCCCCAATTTGTTGTGCACGTGTGCATCTGCAATGTCGAAACATCCTAGTTGCCCAGGCCCAACCTGACGATGGAGCCTCCACGTGCGCCAGCGCCAGCTGCGCCAGGCCCAGCTGAAATCGCATGGCTGGCCATGGGCACAAGTTGCGTTGATGTTTGCGGTTTATGGCTGGAGTGGTGTGGGTGCTGCTGGTGCTGCCGGTGCTGCTGGTGCTGCGGTGGTGGTTCGTTTTCCTTGGGTCTGGAAGGGTTGCAGTCTCTGGGCTGGCATCCTGTGGGTGCTGGGGTCCCATCTGGAGTGGCACCAAGGTTTTTCGCAGAGGGCAGCGAAGCACATCACATCGGTTTAATGTCGAGTCTGCTTTGGGCTTCAAGTCGAGTCCGTCTAGTTGACATGTGCTGCAAGCCAAGTGTGTCAGGCCTGCTTCTGGCAATTTGGCTTCAAAGCTGGCTCAAGCCAGAATGCTGACTGGAACAAGGGGATGTCCAAACATCAAGATTTGCCTTGCGCCATGTGGCTAAATGATCACTCTCCTGCTATTCAAGCTCGGAAAGAAAAATGAACGAATGCGCCGCTCTGGAAGGGCTGCAGTCCTTGGGTCCATGAATGTGATCATCTGAAAAGGAAATCCACTCCAAAAAGCACTCCGACCCTACCTCCAAACAATTTACCTAGATGGATCTTAGATGGAACTGAGTCAGTCACTTGGCCTCGGCCCCAAAAGAAGTCGGACATCCCGCGGCCTCGCTGGTGAGTGCTTTCCAGCTAATCTAGCTCGCTGCAAACTGTCATCCTCAAACTCTAACCCAAGCGAGATCGTGGGGTGTTCCTCTGTTCACGGATTGGCAACACCAATCCGGTAGTAATTCCAGAAATGATGACTTTGATCCAAACGGCAAAGTGACAGCCAGCTAGGCGTGTCTCACCTCCAAATAGAAAAAATGGGGTTCGCAATGAGCACGTGAGGTTGGCCCACCTGCCCACGCTGCCCAGCTGTGGCTTGGGTACCTGCCAAGTTCCAAGGAGCCCTCCCCTCTCTCCTATTCCTTTGGATCTCTTTAGCCATTACCCCGAGGAGAAACTCCCCTTGTCAACCAAATGGTGAGGCCGGGGTCCTGCCCACGGGTCGTGATGGTCCCAGGGCACAAGGCCATGATTGAGGAAAACGGCCACCAGCCCTCCTCGCTGGGGCTGGCGTGGTAGCGCAGGCTGTACTGCCTCGAGCCAACAAACACTTCGCAAAACAAAAACCATTCATGCAAACAAACTAGCCAGTTTCGCCGCAAAGTCAAACATAAATGAATAGGAGTCACCTTTCGATCACGCAATTCCCCTGGACCGAGGTCTGGCCAAATCATGCAAACCAGATAGCAACCACAGGCAATGTTTTTGGATTTCATATCAGTTTGCAGGTAGGCACAATGTATGCAACCCCTAGGGCCAAATTAAGCTGTTTTTCGAAGGCTGCGCAAACCATCATGTTCAAAGGAATCCCATGTGTGTTTTGCGGGTCAATGTTTTGTCTGGCTCACTTTCCAGCTGTTTTGCAAGGGAGAAGTGTTGATCCTCAGCTTTCTTACGTGGGATGCCCGACGTCAATCAATCAGGGTTTCTCGGGCCGCAGGGAATGTGTTGGAAGGAAGCCAATGAGCTCAGCGCTCGGCTGCGCCGGGGCGCCCGTTAGCGCAGCCAACGCCTGGAATGCCAGCGGGAAGAGCCTTAACACGAGCTCTGAAGTCTGGGGCCTTACAAGGCTGCTCCCTTACTTTTGGAAGGCTGTGTTGTGCTTCGTGCGGGGACCACGTGAATTAAGGGATTTGAGCTATCTCCAAAACCCTGAGAAGCTAAAACGGAATATCTCTGGAGGCTTCGTTTTAAAGAGACTCCTTCGTTTTGCAAGGGTTTCACCTTAAGCAAGCAGCGGTCCTTTTTCAAAGGCTCACGTCGCTATCCTCAGCGAGGGCTTTTCGGGTGGCTTCGCGCTTGGCGCGCAACCTTTGCAAATGAGATCTCAAATGCCGCTCATCCCTTTGGCTCAGCGAGGTTTCTGTTGGTCGTGACAGCTTCTGCATGTCACGCTTGGTGGATGGGCGGTTCTTTTGATACAAATACTTTCTTGTAATTGAATTGTCACAGCCAAGCTCCAATGGTGGCTTTTGCCAGCTTGGGTCCTGGAAGTAGCCCTTTTTCCACTGTGCAAAGTCGGGCTCTTTGGGTTCAACGGTGAATCTGACTGTTTCACAATCGGATGAGTCGCTGAACACCCAATTCTTGATCTGTACGCCTGCACGGGCGCGTGCTGAAATGATGGACTCAAAGCAATACGAACGATTGATCTGGCAATTCTGCATGGCTAAAGTAAAGGTGCTGGGCCGTTCGGCCGGCAGCTCTGGAACTTCGATCACCCATGTGGGGCCATTTGGGTTCGCAGCGTGTTCTGCGGCAGCAGCGGCTTGCAAAGCAGCCACGACAGCATGTTCAGAGTCTGCAAAGAAGTTCGGAAGCATACAAGCCTGCTTGAGGAAGCGGCGCATGGGGCTGAAAAGCTGGGAATCGCACGGCCCTTTGCCATGCTTCTCTACCATATACCGAGTCTCGCAGCGTTGGCGATAGCTTCGCGGAATGTGCACCATGGTGTTGTAAGCTCCTTCGTAGGAGCGGAAGTGGTTGCCCGCGTCGAAGACGAACAGCAGATTCTCCAGCTTTCCCAGGTGCAGCACCTCTCTTTCCACGGCTCTGCGGATCAAGAGCGAAGCAAACAGGGCACTTTTCTCCAGCACTTCAGAGACATATAAAATATTGCGGGTGCATACCTTGCCATTCTGCCATTGTCGCAGGTAGACCCCGAACACTGATAATGTTTTTCTGGCAGCACCATGCCACATGTCAGAAGACTCCTCTGACGCTATTGGCACACCAATGTTTTCAGAAAAGTCCGCTTGGAAATAACATGTTCTGGGCGCAAGGTTCTCGAGGGACTCCCGCATGGAGGACTGTTCTCGCGCAGCAGCAAGCATGTGCCAGTCGTATGACCGGACTATGTTCAGGTGAAGCTTCAGCTCTTTGACCAGCAGCCCCTCTTCGTGCCTGATTCTGAAAGGCTCCCGCGCAGCCCGCCTAGAGTCAGCGTGTTCCTGTTCGTGGGTTTCCCACAGGTACTTCTGCACGGCAACGAGTTTTGCCTCTGCATCGCCTGTTGTCATCACCAAAGTGTTGCGCCTGCAGGGGCGAAGCCACGTGAGACACTTCATGCATTTAGAACTGGCAAACCTCTAAAACAACCGCAGCTACAGGATCAGACTCTGTTTGAAGCATCGGCCTGCTGCGCCAGAAGGGTGCCCAGTAGCCAGGACACACAGCCGACATGGTGCTTTGACACCGGGTGAGGAACCCCGATACGCGTGGTAAGATTTTCTTCCTGTATGCAAGGCAATGATCGCAAAGGTCAGTTTTGCGAAAGCCCTTCCGAAACTCCTGGCAGTGCCGGGCCACCAAGCAGCGAAACTGGGTCTCCGCCAGGTTCCGGTGAATGGAAGGGCTGGACCTGTAGATGGTGCTCAATTGCCCGGTCAAGGTTCTCCTTTGCTTTCTGACACGGAGTACAGATCCATCTGGCTGTCGCTGTCTACACACACAGGTCAAGGAAGCAGACACGGAGTTCTTCTCTAAAACTGCTCGAACAGCAGCTACATTCAAAGGGTTGTCAACCTTGGAAGGTCTGCCGCCGACATTGCGGCCCTGCAGGGGCTGGTGCCGCGGCGGCCTTTTCAAATGATACTGCCGCACACGCTTGTTGCTCACACTGTAGCCCATTTCCCGCATTCTTGCTGCGCTCGACAGACCTCCTGAGCACACTGCCGTATCCAGCTGTTGCACTAGCTTTCTGGGGTCTTGCAGCCATGTCTCCCGGAGCTTGCCCAGTGCAGGCAACAGTTTGCGACAGCAGCAATCGAAGTTGGAGTTGAGCTCCGCGGCAAGCTGTTTCGCGGTGCCTGGCCATTCTCCATCGGCTTTTTTCACAACTGCTGACAGCAGCAGCGATACTTCCTCAGGTGTCTCGCAGCTGCTACGCACACTGTCCAAAATGACTTTGATTCGCCCAGCCTTGGCACGGGTACCAAATTCGGTCCACGTGGTCCCTCGACTCTTGCGCCCAGAGGTTGTTTGCGGCGGCGTCTCAGCAGGAAACAGCTGTCTGGGCTCAATAGGGCTTTCACATGGACTCTGCGGCCTTGCCTTTGGACGCTCACATGGAGACTGGGATGCCAATGCAAGTTGTGCAGGCTTTGCTGCTGTCAGCGGCCTGTGCTCGCTCCTTCTCAGAAAGAAGTCTTGGTCGCTTTGACAAAGCGATGGCCACCAACTGTCTGGCAGATACTTGCGAATGAGATACTGCCGCTGGTCGCTCGTGAGGTCACCTAGTCTCCTCCGAGTTGCTGGCCGGGCACACCGCGCAGCTTCCAGCAACGTGCTACGCAGCTGATTTTCCTGGGCCAGCAAATAGCGCAGACAGTCTTGGAAAAAGAGTTCATAGCCTCTCATACTTATGCAGCTGCTTGGGCCAGGGCCTACAAAGCACGAAAAACCAAAAGAACGGCTTCGTTTTTTGCTTCGTTGTGGCTTCGTTTTGACGCCTGGTCATGGATGGGGAAATGTGGGCCCATGTGTGACCCTGCTCACATGCGTGCAACCAAGCGGGCAACTGGCTGTTCACCGATTTTGTGCCACTTGCCCGTGCGTGTCCCCTCAGCAATCCCCAAAGCTGGCTTACCCCATCTGCTCTTCGAGCAGGCCTTCAACGACTAGCGAATGGCAACGACTCGCAGAGTCGACTTGCCACGCACGCGGTGCGTTGGAGTCAAGCGCGCTGCTGGCTGCTTGGCAGCTGAGCGCACAGGCCGCACACATCGCACACACCGACACACATCCAAGTTACAGTCAGCAAGCTTCCGCGCAACCTCGGCTGAAAGAGCCTGAAGTTTCTGCAGAACAGAGGGGCATGCATGTAATACCGAGACATTCCAGCCGCAAGACAGCCGCTTGGCTGCCCTCTTGCACGCGTAGCACCAAGAACCGCATGCAAGGGATCCTCGGGTTCCCCAACGAGTCTCCCATTTTGCTGCATGCTTCTGCCTCTGGCAGATCAGGCAAGCGGTGGCAGTGGGAAAGAACTTTCTCTCCGTGTTGCCGGTGTTCTGTAAGACAACATGCAGCCTAGCTTGCTGAAGATGCGCGATCTCACTGTCAGTGAGAACCGTGGCAGTCGCCTGGCAACAGCATGAAAAAGCAGCTGCCTGATTGTGCAAAACCTAAACCAATAGCAAGCCGCAAGGCTCTGTCCTCCACTGGCACCGCCTCATGCTCATTGGGGGCTACCTCCGTTTGCTCATCCTAGCGCAGACACCGCGAAGCAACTAAAACAAACGGGGCTGCTGCCGAACCGTTGCAGTCCCGGAAGGGCTGCTCAGCTGGAGCCACCAAAGCATCCTGCAGCAGGAGCTCTTCCTGGGCCTGGCGGACAGGAAAACCTGAACCAATGGCAAGCTGCAAGGCTCTGTCCTCCACTGGCACCGACTCATGCTCATTGGGGGCTACCTCCGTTTGCTCATCCTAGCGCAGACACCGCAAAGCAGCTAAAACAAACGGGGCTGCTGCCGAACCGTTGCAGGCAGTCCTGGAAGGGCTGCTCAGCTGGAGCCACCAAAGCATCCTGCAGCAGGAGCTCTTCCTGGGACTGGCGGACAGGAAAACCTGAACCAATGGCACGCTGCTCCACTGGCACCGACTCATGCTCATTGGGGGCTACCTCCGTTTGTTCATCCTAGCGCGGACACCGCGGCAAAGCGGCAAGCACAAACGGAAAGCAAGAAGCCTGCACGAGCTCTTGCCCATCAAGAACCTCAGGCGGCGCCAAAGGCTCCTTGTCCTGTGGCTCCTGCCACATGACGACAGCATGAAGCCGCTTTGTGCGCGCTCTGATGCGCTCTCATGGTAAGTTAGTCACGAGTCCTGCGGCACCTGCTCCCCCAAGGCTGGCGCACAAGGAATGAGCCCCGCATCCTGGTGCGCGCAGCCAAAATTGACCTTGCAACCCGGGACCACTAAGAAACGGCCTTGTCATGGCCTGCGGCAGGTGCAAAAAGTGGTGCGTCCGTCTCTGCTCCTCCTCTTTCCTGCGTGGGCACAGCAGAATGCTGCGCACAACCTGTCACTTGCGTTTCGCAGCACCTTGGGCTGCTGGATTCACTACCTCATCGCCGCCACCACCACCACCACCACCACCGAACAAAACGGCAAAACAAACAACAACTGCCCCGAAGCCAGCACCCGCAGCCACAACGACAGAACCAACTAATTAACACGAACACAGCAAGGACGGCAGCAGCAGCAACGACAGCAACGACAACGGCAACGAACAACGACAAGAACAACGACCACAGCAACAGAAACAGCAACCTTGCAAGCCGAGCAGCTGGAGCTTCTGCTTGCCGTTGTCCGTGAGCATGAAGGACCTGGGCGGGCAAGACGAAAGCGACGAACGGCGAGGAAACCAGCACACGCATCCCAAAAAAAAGGCAGCCAGCAAGCCCAAAAGCACCAACAAAAGCACCACCACCACCACCACCGCCGCCACCAACAGCAACACCCCGACGCGAAACACCCCGCGCGAAGCCAAGCAGCTGGAGCGTCTGCTTCACCTCGTGGATGAACATGAAGGACCTGAGAAAGGACAAGGTGGGGCCAAGCGAAGAGGAACAGCAAACAAAACCAAAACCAAAACAATCCCCAGAGCCACCACCACCACCACCACCACCAACAACTCCCTACTCTCTGCGCTGATCAGCTCAATTGCTCCCCATTGGCTCCTGAACCTTGGCTTTCTTCTGCGAGGTGGTGGAATCTGCAGGATCATGGTGTTTCCTGACCTTTCCACACGAGAGACAAGATTCAAATTCAAGGTGGGCTCCGCATGCCTTCGACGTCTTGCTGCACATGGACTTCAGCTTTGTGATGTCGCTCTCACCGGACTGTTCCAGGAGTGCGCGGAGCTCTTCTACCTCCTGCAAGCTTTTCCGAGAGGCCAGGCGTGCTCCACGGCTACCTTTGGCATTCACCTAGGAAAGCAACATCATGTTGCTCTGAAAAGGAGTCACTACCTGCTGCAATAGAGTTGCCGTGCTCAGGACATAGGAGTCGCTGAAGCTGCCGTAGCGGGTCTCCGTCCAAATCGTGAACTCCATGGCTGCAACAAAGACTGCACTGCACCAAGCCAAAATGCTCTCGGCTTCAGCTCACTGCAAGCACCCGTGAACTTTCACGAAAGACAAAAGCTTCGTTTTTAGGAAACACCTTCGTTTTACAAGGCTTCGGACACTATTCCATCCGAATACATGTCCTTGAGGCCGAGTGTTCTGGGACTAGCTCATTTCTTCTTTTTGTTTGATGATTGTTGCCATTGCCTGCTTGTCTCATACTCGTAGCACCCATCAACACGTACAGCCACCGGCAGTTCTTTTTGCAAACGGCTAGGTGCAACAGTCTTCTGGAATCCTACGCAAAGCTTCCTTTCCCGGAAGCATGCGAAGGAATCTTCCTGCTGGGCAAACATCTCCTGCCAACTTCTCGGGCGCTAGCTACTCTACTGCTGAAATTGCCAGCTGACTTTTCGGAGGCTACTTCACGATCCTAAAGGTGCGAGGCAACAGCGCCGCCCAAGACTCCAACGCGTCAGCCGTGCCGTTGTCTCAGTCTCCCCCTCCGCGCTGGCAAGCGCTTGCGCTTGAACAGCCGTGGTGCCAGCAACAAGCCACGCTGCAACAGTGTTTGAAGTAACGGCTGGGCCTGAAGATACCCTGCCGGCCAACAAATGATGTGAGTCAAACGCAAAGTGGCTCAAGTCTCAAGTGGCCCAAGTTGCCCAAGTGGTGGCCCCTGTGTTGATGCCCCAACAGGCCCAAGTGGCTTACGTGGCCCAAGGCCCAAGCGACCAAAGTGGTTCAAGCAGCCTGCGTGGCCAAAGTTGCCGTGTGTCGGTGAAGACAAGAGCGAAATCATCCATTGCCTCGACGCCTTCATGTTGGGCTCACACCCTCCACTCAGCAAAGCCATGCTGCGCAAGCCGTTTCTCGATGGAATCTGCTGGGCCCACGCTGCAGCCATTGCCCTTGTTCGATGGACCCATGACAAAAGCAAAGAGAGCTCCAGCTTTGACCCCATTGCTCATGTTTATTGTTGCTGCGCCGCGCCTGCAAATGCCTGAAACAGCATGACGCACCTAGGTGTTTTGCAACTTCTTATTGATCCCCATGAACGCTATGCGGGGATTGGTCGGGTCGATCCGCGTCGCGCTTGCAATCTTTTTCTTGATACCGGTGAACTCTCTGTCGGGATCGGGTAAATGTGCAAAACCTCGAGCACTTTGATGGTCATGTGCGCTTGCTCTCGAGAGCGGCGGGGCTTGGGTTCGACTCCGACCTGGTCCGCGGGCGGGCTTTCCGAGCAAAACCTGCAAGAAAGCGCTCTGGGAAACTTTGCACCAAACGCAAGCATGTCTACAGTCGGAACTCCTCAGCGTCGCTCCATGTTCCCGCTTTTCGATGAACGAACATATACCATAGTCGCTCCTCGGGAACAGAGGGCTTCAAGCAAGCGATGAGAGGTGGGCATGTTGAATCAGAAAGTGCTCAAAGTCCTTCCACCTTTGCTCGCGGGCTTCGCCTTCATTGCCATGCGCTTGTTTGGGACGCTTGCAGCTTGCCTAATGAGCAAAGTGCGCTCGCTCCTGCAGTTCCAGCAAGCTGACCAGTTCACGCTGTTTGGATCATGATTCGTGTTGATTGCATGTGTGTGGCCTTGACTGCAGCCGAGCGGCGCAAACTCTTGCTGGTGTTATTTTTGCTTCGGTCCGTTTGACAAACCGCATGCTGCTTATGCGAGCCCTCGTGGGCTAACCTCTCAACGCGTTCCGGCTTCACACGGTGTTGAGACCGTCGAGCTGCATCAATAGGTGCGGGAGGTGCCATTTAGATGTGCAGAAATCGCTTCGTTGCAAGGCCCAGGTCGCAATTGATGTCTCTATGCTTCCGGGCCATCGCGACGCTGTCTACGATTGGTTGGGGCTCTAGCGTCGCACGCCTGACCGACCCAGGGCACATATACAAGCACAAGCGTGCCTCCGCAGCATCTCCTCGCTCGGCTGCCTGCCATCGTCTTAACTGACTTTGCCGTCCAACAGTAGCATCCATGCATGAATTGTCTTCCTTCAAACCAATTTTTCAGCCCAGGGGCCCATCACACTCACACCTCACACCTCACAGCCCCTGATCCGAGGCGGAAGTGACTGGTGAGCCTTCCCGCCTGGTAGGATCCATTCAGTCGGGCCCATGCCTGGCACGTGAAAAGGCACTGAGATGGACGGCTGGCACCAATCCCTCCCTTTCAATCGGGGCCTAATGAAGGTGTATCGTTGTGTACCTTTCCCAAGCCCCTCTCCTGGGACCCAAACTTATTCAGGGGCTCTCCAAAACATTCCAATTGCAAATCAGAGCGAAGATATGAACTTGCAAATATGTGGACATATGACATTGATGTTCTGTACATCTGGCATGGGGTAGAGCGCATTTGGATGAGGACAAGATTGGAAAACCCATGGAATCCCTGCGAACCTGTTCGTACGATTCAGCACTTTGATGGCCCTGCTCCTGAAGACCTTGACTGAATCAGGAATTGTGGGGGCTTAGACAACTCCAGCTCACACAGAAAGCTTTTGTGACCGTGCGAGCCGTGTATTTGAAGCGTGTCTGCAGGCCTCAGAAACCCTTGCAACTTTTGCACCTCGCTGCCTTCACCTCTCCCCTCACGGTTTCAGCACATGATCACGGACCTTAGTCCTTTGGCTCACCTTCAAATTCAACAACCCCAAGCAACATGTTGAGCTGTTTTGAAACTAGCCGAGTTTTGTCCGCCCAAGCTCCGCACAAGGCCTCGCCTCATGTGCCTGTAAAGTTGGCTGGGAACCCTGGCTTCACCCTTGCGGGGGCAACAAGGGGTATTGTTGGTTGGCCGCACTCCCAACATCACCAGCGACCTCGGGCATTGGCTTTGACTTGGTGGCAGTTCAGTTGCTCGGCGCTGGTTTTAATGAGCGCATGTCTTGGGTTTGTTTTGGGGTTCATTTAGACCCGGCAAAGGGCTGACTGCTGGCTCGATTGAAGGCTGGCTTTGGTTCGGTTTGGGTTCGCTCGGGGCTGATGCGCCAGGTGCGCGGCTGGTTTTGCAGTGGCGCTAGGGTTGCTTTAGGGGTGCGCTTGCGTGCGTTTTGGGTTAGTTTTGGTGGTTTGGCAACCAAGCAACCAACCAATCAACCCAACCACCTGACCGGGGCTAAGCCTGTGGCTAGTAAAAAACATCTCCAAGCAACGTCCCTCGACAAAAGGCAAGAAGATACAGCCCATTCTCAACCAGCCTTCTCCAAGAGAGGCACCCACAGGGACTGGGAGCAGCTGGAGGAGAAGGCGAAGACCTGACCCTCCTGGGCCTGCGCATCCCCTGAACTGCGTTGGAAACACAGGCTTCTTGACAAACATATAATAGTCAGTAGGGGTGGAAACAATGTTTGGCCGAAAGACCTTGAAGGCAAGGACTGCTGGTGAATAAAGCATCTTTCAAGGAAGTTTTCGCATCACACCTGTGAGCTCATGCTCGTTTCGCAAAGGCTCATGTGCGTATGGATTTCAACAATAGGGTTCTGTCAGAAAGTCACGACATAGATTTGTGGCTTTTACCAATCAAATCCACACCAGTTCCTGCTTCTGCCGCATCTCTGGCGCCAGCTGCAGCGCCTCCCGCCGACAGGGAAGGCCTGGGTGTGCCCGGACAAATTTATCACCGTAAAGACGGCCAATTTGTTTTTTTGGGGGAAATTTGGGTCTTCCCCTCAAGTAACAGTAGACTGAGACCCTCTTGTGAGACTCGGGTGGAATCTCACCGCGTAAGGAAACTGAGGCGCTGGCTGTGAGAGACCGGCACCTGTGCAACCATGCGGGTTGTCGCGCCGGCAACCAGCAGCAAACCGTGGCAAATGCGTCGCTGCAATATTGCAAAGTCACCCAGTCACACCAGTCTTGGCTCACAAAGGCTACTGGGGAAAATGCGCAACTACAGCTGAGGGCTTGAAGGTCGAACTGTAATGTTTGAGGGGTTGGGGAACCAATTGTTGAAGCACCGTGCCCTGCAAAACCCTCGTGACTCAACGTCTTGGCCTGCACCCATTGGCCAGAACGGCTGAGACGACCTCTGGTGAGCACCAAATACCATTTCTCCACAATGTGTTGCAGCTGATCAGTCATAGCAAGCAATAGTTATTTCAAAACATTGTGCTCTCTTGAGACAAGTGGCAAATGCACACGCCAGCACTCAAGCCATCTCGCGAAGAGTAGACAACCTGCATGCCAAGCTCAACATGTGCACATGCGCATGTTGACACCGGCAATGCGGCAAACCATGCTCTCTACCATGCTCGCAAGCGCCCCGATTGGCATACCTCAACTGAAGCCTTGGCTCAATTGTCAGCCCTCTGAGCGAGCATCCTGGCCTGCTGCAGCAACTCAGGCTGAGCCTTGAGATTCAGGCGCGCATTGCAAACGAGAGGTGCCTTCTTGCTGGAACAATTTGCCTCGAAATGCCTGAGGCACTAAAGCAGTGTTTTGCTTAGACGGAATTGTCAATAGCTGTGATCTTGCGTGCTGCACGTCAGCATCACACAAGTGACAAGCTCCTAGACACAAGTGACAAACGCTGGCGATTGTCAGCAATTTGTTTCAAGTCACTCCTTGCAGTGATAAATGTCCACCCATTGACGCCTTCTCTGTTGTTTTTGATCCAATCATTTGTCGCAGGGGGAGCCGCGGCTGCAAAGCACATTTTGACAAGAGTGTCCGAAACCCACATCGACTTTGACAGGTCAACCGAGCAGATTTTCGATTCTGCACCCCCGAACGCTTCTGTTGCCTTCGGTTGGTTCAGCATTGGTCGTACACATTCATTGGCCCAAGGAACACCGAACGCCATTTAACCGACAAAGTTGCTCATCTGGCTGTGTCAACTTCTTTGAACTTGTTTAAACCGCTGCTGCTTAACCAGCTTCCTTCAAAATCCCCTCTAGAAGGACGCAAGGGCACCAGGCGCCGGTTGGTTGAATACATTTTGACCAACCCTGGGCATCTGATTAAAGATATGGTGCTTGAGGAAGTGTGATCCAAAATCAGCTCGGACTGGCCTGTTTCCCCTTAGAAAACCCCATGCAACACGGCGTCGCTTTCAGCAGGCCGTGCTGCACACATACAGAGTGGTATCTGAGCACGTCTGTGCAACGCTTCGACTCTCGCCCGCCTAGGCACGGACTTTCGAGCCGTGGTCAATTGGCGGCACTTTGGCACGTGCACCACCGTCAAACTTGTTGTATCTGAAATTCGCGTCGCACACGCACAAGGGCACATTGGCGATGTTTACGTCTTTGCACATGTTTGACTGCAGCCCATGGGAGTTTTGCATGATCCGTTCCCTCTCGCTCCAGCAGAAAGCACTACTTCACAGGAACTTGAAACCAGTTTCAAACATTGAATGGCAGCCCCCAGAGGTGGGAAAGAGAACGATTATTGTACAGTCTAGGCCGAGGTGGCACTGCCATCCAGTCTCACCATTGATGTCTCCCTCGGCACACTTGATCGATTCCTTGGGCAGGAATGTTGCTGGCTTGTGTTTAAACGGCGGCATCGCAAAAGCAAATTGCTTTTCAGAGTAGCCGAGCGCAGCTACAAGGAGTCTGAAAAGTACAAACATGAGCCACAATGATGCTTTCCTGACATTCACAGGCTTCCTGCAACTTCATGGCATCGCCTAACAACGAAATACCAAAGCTCACACACACACACACATGACACAGTTGTTTAAGCCACATACTCTGTTTCGACACATGCCCAAAGGACATTGACATTGAAATAGGCCAAGGCACAACTGCTCAACTCCAGCTTCCTACTTGGTCGTCTTGGCCCTCTTTCGAGGTGCTCCATTGGCCGACCTCAATCGGTGCAAGGTTTCGATTCAGTGCCCACCCCTTTTCGGACAGTGTCAGTGTCAAGTGTGCTCTTCGCAAAGGGTGGCCTATGGTCACATGATCATGCTTGGCCCTGAATCTCTGTACGGCGTACTTCTCAAGCCCAGGCAGGTCCAGGTGAGACCCACGCAGGCACTAGCGGAGGAGTGGATCGTGGTGCAGTAGGGGACTGTACATGATCTCCCATGAGAAAACTGGTGTGCTCTCTTTAGAGCTCAGTTATCTGCTGCATCGCGCGCCACGCCAGAGGAAGCACTATGCCCAGCACACCCGTCTTCCAGTGGCTCTTCGAGGATGTCAAAGACCCGCACTGCGTCACGTCGTAGCAGGTTCCATCCTGGCATCCACACTGAAAAGCCTAAACCCCCTACTCAAGGCAGAAGCCTACGCAAGAACATACACAACCACCCTCTGAGGTTCAGCATCACTCCAAAGATCTTCCAAAGACAGCTTCGTCCTGTGGGCATCGTGGGTCTGTGGGCTCTACCACGGCCTTGGCTTCGAAGCCCAGGTGGATGTTGCCTTGCGTGTTGAGCGTCCCTTTGCCTTGCTCGCGCGAGTTTTAACTCAGGGTCCCTTTCTTGCGGCAAGGAATCCCACAACACAAGGGTGCCCAAACAAGGGGGCCCAACGAACCGAACAATGGAATCACATGCCCCACGCTACTAAAAATCCTTAATGTTAGAGTAATATGTCGGATGACAGGGTTCCTTTTTGCCGCCAAGGTAGGGGCCTAGGATGAACTCTCAAAAGCGTCCGAGATACACGCTCCTGACTCCACCAGGGCAGTGCAAAGGAAGTAGGTCCCTGTCAACCCGACATTGGGTGGGTCTACCCCACAAGCAGCGGAGGAGCGAAAGCCACCCACCACGATCTCACTGCAATTCGAGACCTCGCCCTTGAGGAAACTGAAGTTGCGGAGGAGGACCAAGTATGAGAAGTCCTGGCCTGCACAAAGGCCTGATGCGTTGAAGAGCGCTTCATCTTCGGAGTCGTACTGTTGGCCAGACATGTAAGAACCACAGGCCAAAACAGCGTCGGCAGCCCCAAAGAGTACCTAGGTCCCCACAATCCTATACCCCCTCTTTGCACACTGGGGTTCATAAGTCGATGAGGAACCGAACCCTTTCCCTCCCGGCAAAAACATATACGCGTAATACTGGGGGTCCCAGATACATAAGGAGCCGCAAACCACTGGTCTTCTGACCGCGTGCGCACCCATCCAGGCCCGACCTTGCAGCTTGTGACGGCCCATGGCAGCCATGCAACCACACACCGGACAAAAGACCTCATGCCTGCTGCACGTGGCCATCTCGAGCCGTGCACCCAAAAAGACTCGGCATGTCTTCTCCATAACCAGTGCAGCAATAGCCCCCCGCGAAATCTGCCCGTGTGGTTCCAAAACCTTCCCTGATGCATTATCTTCCCCGGTCCCTGCTTCTTTGTTTCTCAATTGTTGCTCGAGTCTTTGATATTTGTCAAACTCTGCAAGAACAAAAGCTATGCTTACCGTGCTTTCCCGTTGCCGCACATTGGCACAGTTGCCATTGCACAGCTTCCACACCTTCCACCACAACCTTGATGCCTTGGACCAGTGGAAGGGCAACAGTGGGAACCTTCCAAAATTGCGGGTTTCCGTGAGGCCTTTTTGCATCCTTCACTATCGGCCCTCGTTTTGAGGCACTCCCACATGCCACGCTTCCAGGTCTGAGCCCTGTGCGCAGGTCGCTTTCTCGATTGCCTGGCCAGGGGCGAAGGCAAAGAGGTGGCAAAACCAAAACAACAACGCTCAACATGCGATGGCTGAAAGATGTTTCCGGCGCTTCTGAAACACTTTCTTACCAGCTGTTGTGAAGGCTTTCCCTTACCACATGCAACCAAACCGAGCTAACAGGTACATGTACGTGTGAGAGTCTCCCCAGCGAAATGGGCAAAGGCGCGTTTGTTTGCTTAATTTGCAGCTGATGGACCAATCCACTCGATGGGGCAACCCAGGGGAGGGGGATCATTTTCGAACACCGATTTTGGATCATTTTCGAACACCGATGTCCTGGATCATTTTCGAACACAAAGTGGGTCATTTTCGAACACATGGGGGGCTATCCTGCGGCAGGTGGGGCAGTTACGTTTGCCTCTTACTGCGTGACCGTGCCAGGGGTGGGGGTGGGGGTGGGGTGGGGCAGTTCCGTTCGCCTCTTACTGCGTGACCGTGCGACTGCATCCTGGGGCTGGGGGAAGGGGGTAATTGCGATCG